TTCCCGCCCCCCCCCCCACCACACACACACACCGCCCACACTTTTAAAGAACGGGCTCTGAATACGAGACAAGGGTCGCTTTCTTCCCATCTGACTTCTTGTTCGGGAAAATTCACGATTTATAACTTTACTTAAGGTTTTTACTTCAGATGTTTGCCTGGCGCCCATATTTTATTTACCCCGCCGGTCTAATTTTATTAGCTTGAGGCCGGCGTTATTTGCTACGGGTAAACCAATGGCTTTGTGATAGTCTTACCGCTTCCTGGCCCACCTTCCGCTAGTGGGTCAACAGGTCGAGTTTTGTGTGCAAAGAGCATAATGGCGTGATGAACGCAGCCGTGAGAGAAAATTACACTTCAGTCATTTTGTTCATTTCAGCTGTGACTTTGATTCTTTATTTATTACAGTACAAGCTACTCTTACTGTAGTCCAAACAGTATAATACATGATCCAGTACAAAACGGAGATACACACAAAATGTGTATTCGAGACAGTCTACAGTGACGTTTTGCCCAATGTGAGAAATAGGGCTTGAAAGACAATATTTAAAGAGTCCTTATCAATATGTTTGTATCCGGACATTGGCCACTTCATGGATCCCTTCATGATAACAAGATGTTATTGCTGAAAGTTAATTTTCAACATTTTCACAACTAGATAAGAAAAACGTCAATATACAATGTAGCAGGTATAGGGTTACTGTATAATCTAACGCAGGAACAGTATCAAATCCCGACACCTGTTTGATCCTGTTTGGTCCGGTGCCTAGCTGCCACACCTTTTACCAGTTCAAACTAGTCATGTTCTATCTGTAAATACACGTGTTTTCCATGGTGAGAAGGACCTGTATAGCTAGATAAACAAATGCTTGTACATGGTAAGAGGTTGTTTTCTGAGTAAGGATCACTATGCCATATGGGTAAGGGTGTACTCGACAGGTCCTATATTTCTACAATGCCATTCTTTCTAAAGCCTAGATTCACACACTGATAAAAGCGACTGTACATAGTTTTATCACTTGTGCCACCACACCAAAACAAGCGATATTTTGTTTCTATGCTCAAATGTTAGTAATATATCCGCTCACCTTTTGTACCTAACTATATATAACTTAAAAAGGGTGAATAGTTTAATGATTTTACGACCTCTTATAGATGGTGTTGCAACAATGGTCGTGTTCGCCTCCTTTGTTAAACAACGGTAGAATTTCAAAGCACACTTCAAAGGTTTACGACAAAATGGCTTATCTTAGATAAGTATATCATAGCCAAAGTATATAACATCACAGCTATGCTTTAACTTCTAAGCAAAACCGACGGCTATGATTTATCACAAGCCCCCCCCTCCCCAATATTCTACTATGATACAAACGATACGCATTCCTCTGTTGACACGCGAAGAAAGAGTCGGTCTTTGGGGAGGGACTATTGCTATGGACAGAGGGAGTTTTTCACTGAGGGATTTTTTCACGGAGGGATTTTTTTTTTCACGAAGGGGGTTTTGGCGGTGAAAAAGTCCCTCAGTGGCAAAAGTCTAGCCTCTACCAGGCTTGGGGAGGTGACTGGAAAGAGTAGAAATCGGCCAGATAGAGAGATAAGCATGCCAAGGGAGTTTGTCCGTTGAGAGAACATTTGAGAGGCTAGCAAAAGTCCCTCCCGGCAAAACTCCCTCGGCGGCGTAACTCGCCTTGCTCCCCGGAGAAAAATTTAATGCCCCCGCCACACACTAGTGCGTCTGGGAAGGAGGCTAGTCTTCGGTTAACTTCCGAATACAAAACCGACGGCTATGCTTTATCACAAGTGAAGCCCTCCTCCCCCAAGTATTTTACTATGATACAAACGATACGCATTCCTCTGCTGATACGCCAGGAAAGAGTCGGTCTTCGGTTCAGTTGTCGCCCTCGAGCTCAGACAGGGCAACGTTGTCCAGTGAGGTCAGAGCTTGCTGTAAGTCTCCCAGTGATTCAAGGGACGGCGGTTCTGTGTTCTCCACTGGGAAATTCAACTTCTCTACTATCATATCAGGCAGGGGTACTGGTTGGACATTCCCCTTTTCTGAAAGTTTGAAAACAGATAAGCATTTCTGTTATGATACGTTAACAATACGGTGTATACATAAGTTAGCTTTATAGCTAGGCATGTTTTAACATGAATATGTACATCCGCCCTTTAACAGGTTGATATATATATAAATGGCCGGAAGGAAACTTTGATCTGTTCCGCCACACTTAATCTTTGGTGTTAGTTTGACGCCAGCGAGACACACCTTTGTTGTAATAGCCATAGTGCACATGCATGCAGTTACAGTTCTAACTTGAGCAAGCGTCCGTGGGGTAACATATAAAATTCCTTTATACACATGTAAGTTATACTGTCAAAAATCAAATGGATTTTAGTATCTTAGAAGGATAGGGCAGACGAATGAGGTAATGTGGGTGGGTGCACGTGGGTGTTTGTGTTGTTAGCACCCTGGTAAGTCCATTATCTTATTGTTCCCAATATGTTTAACGTCTTACTTTCGCGGTTACCCAAGATAACCTCGTTCTGTCGTTTCTTCTTCCGGAGAATTATCGCCGTGACCACAGCTCCCACCGCGACAAGCAACAACGTGAGACACGCGACCACAACCCAGACCCACACAGCTGGCTGCCCGGCTGGTGGTTCTGTGCCTGAAAATAGCAGTACAGTCATGCTACGTTGTATCTCTAAGGACGTTATTCAATGTATCAGGTTCCAATCACATGTTATGGGACGCTAAACCGTGTTTACCTACATGTAGATCCTAATCTTAAAGCATATCCTGGATGACAGTAAGACAAATTGGCCAGATGCAGAGTGGGTCCGCATTCAATGTTGGTGGGGGTAGCGACAAATACAACAACAATTTCTTTAAGTGAACAAACGGGCCGTATATAAAAAGATCTTCCCCCATCAACCTCTGTTTAGAGAGTACCTATATCCTAGCTGCCCTCTTTACGTCAAACTGTCTCCTCGCTAAAACAGGTGGCTGTTTTCATATATTATCAATATACAGGTCTTGTACATTAATAATATAATATATGAAAACATTATTTGAAGGATTTTGAGCATTTCATACGTGTACTCTATATCGTTGGTGAGCCAAGTTGTGAATTCAGCCGAGTGATTTGCTATACAGATACAAGCAAAACGGTAGCTTGCTTCCGCTCATTAATTGTAGCCGTGTCGGAGATCAAGGTCGAAGAAAATTTGAACGAACAAAAGACACGCACTCGGGCGAACTTCCTTTCCGTACCACATCTACTGTGCACACGTAAGCGTGAGTCAGCACCTATTAAACACTGTAAAAGTCATAAAATCTGCAAATGCGAAAAATCAAATGTTTTACAGAACAAACGGGGCAAGTGTGAGTCAGCACTAGTATTAAACACTGTAAAGGCATAAAATCTGGAAATGCTAGCTAGACATTAAATCTTTTTTTAGTTCAGACCCACATTCAGGGAGTGACAGGAAGCAATAGTTGTGCCCCATGATAAATCGCTTGTAGCGTGTTTTGAGGTACAACCTAATGGTTCGCTGAGCACTTAATTGGCAGATAAGGAGTCACTCTCACTACTGATCTTTATCTAGTCAGATGTGTAGGTCAACAGGACAGGAAGCCTTGAGTGCGGCGGCGGATAAAACAGATGCCGCCGCCATGACCCAGGGTTCACTCTTATAATACTTAGCGGTATACAATACACCGTGACGGCAGATGGGTGAAAGAAGAACGTCTACGTACATTACCTGTCATCCCTTCCCGAGCAGCCAGTTGTAGCGCATCTGTCACTGACTGTCCCAGAAAATCTATGAAACACAAAATATTTTCTTTCAGATGACCGTTTATAGTTGGCAGGCAAATCAAACACTCTAAATAACCCTTCATTCAAATATGAACATGAGAGAAGAAATATATTTCCTTACCTATACACTTCTGTGTTGAACATATCCCGGTGTTAGGAAACTCCACACACAGATCGCACGACATACAGTCATATATCGGGTCTATTTCAAACGCCATCCCCTCAGGACAGGTGGGAACAACAGTCGGCATCTTGGCGCGGTGGTGGTGAAAGAATGGTGATAACTCGATGTTTTCTGTGGTGATGGCTGCTGTTGACAATCGTCTGTCTCCAAAGAACAAGGTGGCGCCGGCTACTGGGTCGGTAAATCCTAGACGTATGATGCACTAACTGCCCTTCATAAAATCTATAATTTCTTCAACGTGGACCAACGTGAAATGACACTAAACTCTGCTCCACCACACAGCGTTTTTTAAATGCCCTCTGTCATTGTCTGTGCCGGTTCTGGGGTAAGATCTGTGAAACTCCCATTGTTCCCCAGAGCCAGCCAATCAGGTGCATCATTTACGTACTAAGTATTTGCCTTCGTCTGGCGCACCCATCTAACCCCCACATAGCTCCCGTGCTTGCTGATGAAAGGCGTATTATAAAGGTCAGACAGGGTCAATGGCGTCACGTCCTGGTTCTTGTACCCAATGACTTCTGTGTTATTCATCTTGCTCAAATCAAGGATCACTTCAAAAGCAATTTCTCTCTCAAATCATTTATATTATTACACAAGGAAACTGTTACTCAGGCAAGTGGATAGGCGAAAATGAGAAACCCACATTTTGTAACGCATACCTTGTGACCATTGTACAATGATGTCTCACTTACGGTGATGCTGTTTACAATGGAAAGAATATATTGTTCTCCAGAGCCTATATAATCTAGAACTATTTATGAATTCGAAAAGTTGTGGCTCGATATGTTAAATGAAACGTCTGACAGTTTTCAAAATCTACCTGTGTATATCATAATATCTAACCTTTAATCGAGTGATTTACTAGTAGCATATCATTGCCATGTAGTTTTCAGCCATTACTGCCCTGAAGTTGTTGTTGATCTCAGTTGCAGGGCAGTCCCACGCCACGTGTGACCTTGAGTTATTAGGATCGAGAGGCGGAGGCTTCAAACTTCAAAGAACGGTAATAAGATAGCTAACGGCACTCGTTAAGTGTAAAAAAAATGTTACAAGTGCTACAGGGTCATGATCAAAGCTACATATATCTTCCTTTCTTGTGGAACCTCAAAATTTCTGTGGCACTCCTTGTTGGGGTACAATTTGGTACTACCGATTTACTTTCCCATCGACGTCTATTATAAATATGCTGACTTAAGGTCTAGTCTCATCAAAAACATATTTCTTAATTGTGAAGTAAAAATTGTGAAAACCGTGATAACGATGGCTCGCTTCTGAAACACACGAAACATCACCTATAGTTGTTTTTCACAACAGCCAGGCTACAAGCGTCGCACATACCTCGTTGACGTACAAACATTACCATTATTTGGTTGTTATAGAGTTCATATAGACGCACTTCCGATTGTAATCACCCCACTTCACCCGGACTCCCGCACACGTTGGCGTTTGGTCTCGGGCGACTTTGCTAATACAAAGGAATGGCATGTATCACCCGCACAGCAACAAGGGGTAAAATACCAACATCACACAGTTATGGGACTTCTTATCTTTAAATCAAAATCGGGCGATATGTCGGCAAACACCCGAACCCGAGCGAGCACAGAAGTCAAGACTGTTGCTATGCACGGTGGTGACATATTTTAGCAACATTTAGTATGCTTCCTAAACCACTTGTACAGAGCACAGCGAGGTAAAACCAACATCTTAACCTGTGAGTTGAGAGAGTGTACTAATTGAAGAAATCTATATTTTACACACATTACGTTTAATGTTTGCACATTGTCGGTCAATTGGTACTTTAAATCGGCAAACATTACCGTCACAGAACTGTAAAACGTGATGGATATGCACCAACTTAAATCTTACGGAAACATTTACGTAATATAGAGTTGTTGCATGAGGATTACCAAGGGGTATCCACAGTGTTGTGTATTTGCACGCTCCCTTTAGACCTTTAGCCTAGGTGCAAGACTCCGCGCGACGCGATACTCCCTTCGGCCAGGGAAAGTCACACGCCCCGCTCCCAGATTTGGCACCAGGGGTCTAATTCATCTCTCGCCCCTGGATAGATATTCTGGGAAGGGTGTCAACTCTGGGCGCGGGGTAGCCGCGGCGACTGTTGCAGGGCTTCTCTTGCTTGCAGTCTTTTACATTAGCCCTAACAAGACTAATGTAAAAGACTGCAAGCAAGAGAAGCCCTGCAACAGTTGCCGCGGCTATGAGCGGGGTAGGAGCGGGCGTGTTGGAAGGCGCGTGTCGGGTGAGAGCGGGTTGAGGGATCACTGACAACCCCCCCCCCCCAATTACACCTGTTCCACGTTGTCACCTTTTACCTCCGGATCCCATTAAACATGGAACAATAGACGTTAGGTGTGGCCAGCGGATGTTTTCCGTACGATACGAGCAGACTTCCGTTAGTCCTCAAATAGCCTAAATATAGAACGCTTCCCCCGCTGTCGTCAGGTGTATTCTGTAAAACCGAAGACCGAAGGGCAGGGACCGAAATCAACTAAGGTCACCTTGTGGTCAACCGATGGAATCCCTCAGTTTTGCCTCCAGATTTCCCGTGTCTATGTACAGATGGGATTGACAATGAACTTACGGGTAGTACATGTTTTCAGTCTGCCGAAAAACAAGTCAATATGCTCTTATCAAAATTGGTCTTTGAACAAGCCGCAGACTATTCCCCAAATACCGTACAATGGGGGCTAAATTAATCCTAGCCTGACACCAGACACTTCCCCCACATGTAAGTTTCCCCATGGTAGACACATGAGACATGTGATCATGAATTACAAAATCACCTCGCCTGACCGTACAGTGGCACACTTCCTGTTGCCCTGTAAAAACAAAAGATTAGTTTCACGCTCTCGCAACGTCTTCGCTTCCTGATTTACCGCATATAACGTTATAACCAAGGAGCGTAAAATCAAGGTCCCGACTTTATAAGTAGTTCCATTGTGCAACAAACCATCTGTTGGAGAGCCCGCCTAGTCATGCCCAAAATAGCTAGCCTTCTCAGGGCTAGCTACCCTGTGTGCCAGACTAGTATCGGGCCGTTAGCCGTTTTCCTTCGGCAGCCAGAAGCCCTGCGACCGCCTATCTACATTACTGCTACGGGGGAGTTCCTCGGCGTAGCCTTGTAGAGAGCATTAAGTCTTTGAAGCCGCTGATAACGACCTTATCAATCAAAGAGTGGGCTGAGAGGGCACCCTCCGTGTTGAGAGGAGGTTGGCAAAGTGTCAACAACTTTTCAGTTCAGAGGCACACCGCACGCCTTGTGTGTTCCTTTCAAACTATCAAAGTTTGAAAAGTCTGAAAGTCACTATATAGTCATTAGCGGTCTATTCAAAGTATTAGCGGCAAACTTTGAAGACTTGTGTTACCACGTTACGTGACAGGGCACCTGTGTAGTTACTTTTTCAAGGTGAGATGCCAATAGTCTGTATAGATACACGAAAAGTAAAATTCATACTCAGTTGCTTAAGTAACTTATAGTCATGACTTATGTTCTAAAATCATCTGAATGTTATAAGCCCTTGTTAAATCAAAATTAAATGCCATCCTTTCTTTATTGGAAACAAAACAGAGCCAGTTTATCACATAATAAACCATTTCATAGAAACACTGGCGAACTTGAACACGACTATACTACATTAAAGCAAAATAAAGATACAAACATGAACAGATTGACAGATTACGCTATACCAACAATATCTGGACATTTCGAATGTCTTCTGAACAGTTTTATATAATTCGGTATAATAGGTTTATTGGCAATTCTTGCCCGAAGGCGAATTGCAAGTACGCTGACTAACCTAAAGGCTTAGTTCTAAGTCTATTATCTATTATAATGTTAAGTATAAGTCATCCAGCAAAACCTAATCTCCAAGCAGATCTTTTGGTGGCCGAATGGGCCGGCTGTCAGAAAAAAACGGGGCATAGAAAAAGGTCACAATCTCCCCATTCAACCTCTGCTTGGAGAGTAGCAAAACCAGCAAGAGCAGGTCGACCTGCCTATATCGAGAGTATCCAGTTGGCCCCTGAAGATTGCATAGTTTTCCTATCCATGTCCTGGGTGCCAAACTGCTTCCAGGGCCTACATAGACCAATTTCCCGGCTCCAGGGCCAACATGCCCCAAATGAGACACCGTTGAATCTGTGGGTAGGGTAGCCTGGATGCCAGACCCATAATACGCTAGGCCTAATCTCCAAGCAGGGTGGCGTATTGGACCCTCTCTGGCCGTTGGATACTGCCTAGCCAATTTGATACTGTCTTTTGTCACCCTAGGATCTGCTTTGAGATTAGGGCTAGACCTGTTAACGTTATGGGTTTGGCATCCAGGCTACCTGCCCACAAATTGTTACTGTAGAGTTTAGTCACACTGTGAGGGCTCTCCAAGCTCTTCGATGGACAATTGCACGTCCTCATGTTCTTGAGCTTCCCTGCCTGCGGCTGCGGTAGGATGCAAAGGTAGATATTGCACGGACCCCGTCCTGTCGGTAGGGATCACGCTGGTCTCTGGGGGAAGCAGTGGAAAAAAAAAAGAACGTTTGTATCAGGCTTGTATTCTTGCCTGGGTCCCAGTCTATCCCACATGTGCAATAGACTGCATCGTTAAGATTACGAATAAGGCTTGTTTGACTCTGTATGCATTTCTTTGCAACAGGTCGGTAATTTAAATGTTAACTATCACAAGATGTATATTTCTGTTTATTCTAAACTACAGTAAGTTTTGTAAAAGGTTTCATTTTTTCTTTTATGCCCCCTAGTTTCCAAATAATTGAAGGAGGTACGGAAGAATGCTTGGAGGCACCAAGGGGGGTTTTAGGTGTATCATTCTGCCTACCTATAGCTAGTTTTGTTCTGCAGTACCACCATAGGAGAAGGACAGCGACAGCAAAAGCCACGGTGCCAACCATCGCAGACATGGGTTCAGAAACACCTGTATTGAATACAGACGGTTACGGCATTTCACACAAAATTGATATTGTGTGTTACTGTGAAACATCTGGAGACACTAACGAAAATTAAATAGCAATTGTCATTGCCATGGCCTAGCCTCCTTCGCAGACTTCTGATGCGGCGTTTTTTTTTTCGGGGAGCGACGGGAGTTATGCCGCGGAGGGACAGTTAATGAATGAATGAAGACCTTTATTGTACATTTTGCCCCACTGGGCTAAAGACAGGTCACATATTGACAAAGTACATCATCAATGTTGATAATAAAACAGCTATAGTACACAAGAACGTTCAACTTCCTCTCGCTTTCTGGTAATCTTATAAATGTAGTTGGCTGTATGAGTAGTTAGAGCTGGTTTGTTAAAGACTACAAGGAATATAAATTTCTCTATACTATTCAAATACTTAAATTGGGAGTATTTGCTTGACACAAAATCGAAAAGAACGTTTCTTTCGCTGTCATACATGGAACAATCCACAATAAAATGTACCTCGTCTTCTACTTTACCTAAACTACAATATTGGCAGATTCTTTGCTCTAGAGGAGTGCGGTTATGTCTTCCTGATTCAATTCGCAAATTAAAATTGTGACAACTGATTCTTAGTTTAGTAATGGCAGATCTGTGACGTACATTTGCGATCTTAAGATAATCTTCTTCGTTATATGAGTGTTTTAATAATCTGTATGTTCGAAGTTTATTTTTTGAATTAGCAACTCTATTATCGTTGTGGATTTCGGAAAGGAATGTTTGGAAATGAATATCTTTTAAACGCTGATAAATTGCTGAGATAATTTGGGGCGTATTTGAGCCGATTGATTGAACGCTTTGCCATACGAAAGAATAACCGCATTTCTCTAGACTGTTGCGTACACCAGACGCCCAACACTTGGTACCTGTAGCTTCTAACTCTATTTGACACAAGAGGGCGTTAATTTCCGAGCATTCTTGATTCGCGGAAACCGCGCGGAAACTACAGTCTCTCCCCGGCAAAGTCCCACGGCGGCAAAACCGTCCCTCTGCGGCATAACTCCCGTCGCTCCACGAATAAAAAACAACGCCGCCGCATCAGAAGTCTGCGTAGGAGGCTAGCCTTGGCTTTGGATTCTTCCTGTCTGTTTTAACTCTCATTTCCCACAACTAGCATAGGCTTTGGATGACACTTGATATTGGATTGCACACTAACATACGGGGTATTCCGTCCCGGCCCTCCCGGTCCCGGCCCTCCCGCGAGTCGGATCGCCCTCCGGCCTGCGGCCGTCGGGCGATCCGACCCGCGGTCGGGCCGATACCTCGGGCGATACGGAATACCCCGTGTTGTATTCTATATATATCAGACGGATCTTCAACAAAATATGTCTCTTCCTCTGTCTCTTCCTCTACCGTGGGAATCTAATGGTTCTAATTTCAAAGTGCATGTGCGGTTTTTGGTGGAGCCACTGGGCCATGCAGGTGCAGATTTGAACTCAGGCTGAGGATGTTATCAAAACACGGCCGTGTCATTCAAAGCATGGTGGTAGAACTCTACCTCCTCCAAAGTCATTCATCTTCCGAGCAAGGAATTCCGCACGCCGTGACCGTTTTGACAGGGGGAGCGATCGATGATGTATCATTCTTCTAATCACTTTTAACAAGCAACAGTTTGTAAAATGCCAACGAAATTAGTCTCCACCAGACTCCTTTTGCAGGCTGAATGCATACTGTAGTAGAAATCGGCCTAAAAGGGATATCATTGGCCAGAGTAGATGGCCACCGATAGAATTCTGCCCAATAATATCCAAGCCGCGGCCGATTTCTACTATTTATTTAGCCTGCAAAAGGAGTCTGGTGGAGACTACAACGAAGACTATAACGGTGTTATCCATACTCTAAGGGATTTTTGCTATCTTTCATTATACACAAAATACGCAGTAAACAGTGAGCTGAAATTCTGTAAACTCGGAGTGTAGCAGCACTAATCCGCAGGTCTGTGGGACCTCTCTGGTGGAAGGACCTCTTTTCAACTCATTGAAGATATGTCATGACCTCCCATCAGTCTTGTCGGTCAGATTCTCGCCGGCGTGTTTCGTGGCCTTCCTTATCTATGTCGGTTATCAGTACTACTGTCGTTCAGTACATGTGTAGCCGTCCTTCCAATCGTAGCTAGGCAGGGAGACTTATACATTGTAGTTTCAACTTCTCAGACACAAAATGTTACAAGAAAACTCCGTTCTTAAGCTTAATCTTCGTTAAGCGTTACTGAGTACACTGCTCTGACTGAGAACTCGCACCACAAAACACGAAAGATAACACCCGTCACCGCGGCCGGTTGCCATGATCAGGCCCGCGGGCGCGAGTCGCCCTTGCCGCAAAGTGAAGCCCTGACAACAACGGCACTAACAACCCTTGGTGTCGGACCGTTGGCAGCTCTTAATTGCTATAGGGTGAGTTCCTCGGCTAAAGGGCTTACATCAGTCAAAGTCAGCCTAGGTGCCATCCTATTTTGTATGCCGGGGCTCCCATACTCGCTCCCTAAAAATATATGGGAGCCCCGGCATAAAATGGTAAGTACCTATGGTAAGTAAAAACTTACCTTGACAGGACACTGACTTGCTTTGGACACGATCAAGGCGAGTCACGAGATAAAACGTTCTTCGAGTCCGTTATTCTGCTTCCTCCAAACAGCAACTGGGAGAAAACTTTCAAGGAAAGTCCACTACACCTGCCAGCGAACGCACATTTTTTTACCGCAGGGGTGTGCATACTACACGATTTGTTTTCGTCTTTGATTCTCCCCCACTGTATATAGCAGGATACGTACAGTATAGACGTTTTTGTAATGTTTACCCGAGCATTTAATGTTGTGAAGTATAAACGCTTACGATTGTCGTAAATTCCGAAAACTATAAATATGGTCTCCCTTTGGATTTGAATGGTTTGTCCATGACGTGTAACTTAGGCCTGGCCGGTGTACATGTCGTAGCGACAGATGTTTGTTTCTCGAAACATCCACACATCCACTCTCATTCATGTATTACTCCGCCGTGTACCCTAAACTAGTACCAACCCAAAAAGTAAACGGCTTTATGCAAGTGTGTTTTTATTGGTGAGAATTATCTTTTCAGCCAACTTAACGGATCTAAAACGTCAAAGTAGTGAAAGCTTGTTTGTAACTGAAGAGATTAGCACGTAATTGTTGGCAGCCGCGCCGTGGACAGTTAAGTGGCCTGACGTGTTTTGCGTAATGCGGTCTTGCGTTTCGAGGGCCTGTTAGGGGTAGCCGCTGAGTACTAGTGTTGTTTGTAATTGCCAATCGTCTTTGATTCTAGCTTGTAGCCATTTATCTTTATATCTGCTGTTTTACCGACAACGATTTACCCCAACAAATTGCTACATGATCATAGATATGCGTGTGAAAATATATTAAACGATATCATATTAAGGCGTGAATAGTTTCTTGACTTCTTTCGAAACCTCTTGTAGACCCCCATTAGCGCCATGCAGGTGATGCCCCGCAGCCGGGGAATCACATGCATGGTGTGTCACTAGCAAGAATTTTGTCCATCCCTCGGGAACTAGAAATACGATTCTTTGGCGCAACATACCCGCCAGACGGAATTCATTCTTTCCTAGAAGTAGAGCTATCGCAGGGTGGAACTCGCTGTCACAAAGTACAGTAGGGGCATTGTCATTAGATAGCCTTAAACAATGTCTTTAGTGTTAGACGTTCAGGGTTATGTTTAACGTCGTTCAGAGTAATGTGTCCAGTTGCCGCCGCGCCGCATGCCTGCGAAGCTGGTGTGTTACGCCGAATACAGATACGTATGCAGAGACATGACAGAGACTGTCCAATAGTAATACATTCTCGAAATATCACATGGATTACGTTATTCCCTTACTCAAAATCAAATCCTGTTTTCTGGATCGAACTTCTAGCATTTCGTGTTGCTGGATGTATAGATGTGATCATTTCATCTGTCACCCCATTACTAGGATAAACTTACCCCTGTCAACATTAGGACTTGCTTTTCTATTGAAGTTTTGTTTATTCAATGAAACTCAAAACACAGTACAGATTCTAAACCTCCTTGGTTAAAGTGGCTAAACGTTTCCCACATTGTTGTAATGCCGGTGATATAAAGTAAACATCAAAGTACTTGCGGCGAACTTTAAAGTTGTTCAAAGATCATTTGTCAACTGTCTCAACCTTCTAAAGTTCTAAAGGCTTGGGTAGGGCATTTTGGACGTCTTCCAATGCTAGGGAGAACACAAAGCATACCAGAAAATGCAAAAGTAATTAAACATGACAACACTGTAGTTTTATTAACTGCATGTACACACATGTACCATAAGATGACATCAAAGGAAAACGAAAAATTTTGCCACACATAACAAGATTGCTACTGATATATGGTATATTCTCGAAACTTCACATGGGTTGCATTGTACCCTTCCTCAAATCCTGGTGTCTATTTCTGCAGGTGGATGTATTGATGTAAACATCATTCGCGTGACGGTGGCAACTACTGTAAACATTCCGCAGCCACCCCCAATACTAAAAAGTTGTAAAAACACACCCCTGTATGTTTTGTCAAAACATGGAAGTAGAAATGGACTATTGAAGTTTTATTAAATAAAACTCAAAACACAGTTCCGTGTTTGTGAGGAAATTTCCTCTACATTTGTACTGATGAAGAGTACCGGATGGTACTTGAAACGTTTACACATTAAACTTTCAATTATCCAGTTGGAAAAGACTTAACAGCTTTATATATCTATTTATTGATGTAATCGTTTCACCTGACACGTAGTGGTGAAGCCATAATAAATACACGCGTACGACAATGCTGTCGTTTTATTCACTACTTGTATCCGGTACAATATTTTTGTAATAACATTTGATTTGATTTGATTTGATTTTATCAGTGTTATGTATTGATATATTGATTTGTTGTTGCAACAAAATCCATCTTTGATCTTATTTGTCTTCAACCTTACGAGGACCCAAAATTACAGTTACAGAAGTTACAGTTACGATTACATTTTTCAGTGAGGGAATACTACTATGAGTCTATTCTGCAACAACTCTTTCGGACGATCCTTGTTGCTCTTCCTGTACGGACAGTTTCAGCTCCTCTTCTGTGTTGTTTTCATCATCAGCTCTCTCTCGGCCGTTCGCTGTGGAAATACGGTAAGAAGGATGTCATACATGACTTCAGCTACCATGGGTCAGTTGGCAGCTGGGATGTATTGAAGATGTGAAGAACATGATTGTCTGATTTTCTTGTCGGATCTATTACCGTGAGAGTTGATATGTTGTACTCACCTCTGATCTTGTATAAGATTGCAAGGAGAAGGGCAACAGAAGCCAGGATAGACCCCAAGACTATGATGGCCACAATGCCTCCGCCCAGACCTTTTTCTAATTCTGAAACAATGTAAAAAAACGCCTTCTGCTTTAAACTAAATGATCACAGAAAAATATGCCAGAGATGTAACGTCAAGGTGCACTCTTCAAGTATTTGATAAATGTAAGAAAACACAATGGACATTTGAAAGGCGAAACTGATCGAAGAATGACTCACTTTCCTTTCCATGAACACCTGTGGTAGCTTGCAACGGCAGTGTTTTTCCGACGGTTAGGGTGGTGGGACCTGCGAAAGACGGAAATGAGTTTAGCGACATTGTATGTTTAACTTAATATCAATACAAGGACACACTTGCAGGTGACGTGTGCTCGGAATTATGGATCACTGCTTCTTGTAAAACTACATAAAATCTACAAGCGGGCCATTTGATGGCACCACCCGGATACATACATAATAGTAGTAGTATGTATCCGGGTAGTAGTAGTTTACAATACATAATTCATACCGTGTATATTTAGATGGCATGGTGAAATCCGGCCACGTTGAAAACCTCCTTTCCCCCTTCTACCCCAAGAATATAAAGGAAATCAACCAAACAATTTGACTAAGAAAAATATAGAAATAAATATCACTGTTTCACCATATTTCAAATACGTGGTCATGTTATCAATGCTTCAAGCTTCATTGCTTGATTATCAATTTGAAGCTGCAAAACGTTAACCTGCGAATTATATAATTATCAAGATCTTCTATCAATAACCCGTCACATACTGTAGTGTACGTGTTTCTGTTCCTTACCTGGACAGGCGTTGTTCTTGCACATTTCCATGTTCGGATACTCGTAACATAGAGTGCACGGGGGACAGTCCTGGTTGAACGGATCCCACACGCGGCCAGGCGGGCAGGTGTACGTCACCGCCCGAGGAGACCTGGTGGGCGCCGCGGTAACTCGAGTTCCCAACATCAGGACACACACGTGGACGGTTACGGAGAGAAGCCCAGGCATGACGAGGAGAACGTGGAGTATGTCTATTTCCAAAGTCTTCCGAGCTCAGCTCAGGTCAGATTTGTCCAGTCAGTCGCCACGTACGTCAAACTTGTAGTGAATATGTTGTGTAAGAAAAGGAGATCCAGTTTGGAAACGAATTTGTTCACGCGGCGTGCTCGCCTTGGTAACCAGTGCCGGGAGAAGCCGGGAGATTTAGTTGACTGACTCGAGCTCATACGTGACTGCAGCTGATCACGTCACCACAAACTCCCTTTGCACATAGCAGTTTACAATGGGGGTAGGGTTCTATGATTAGGTAAAAGAAATCATAAATAAAATGATCTCATAAATAGTATTATCGTCACAGAGGATTATCCTACCAATTATGATTATTTTGCTGTAATATAACCTTCTCATTATAAATTGATAATCTATACAAATGGGTAGTCAGCACCTGCACACCCCTTTTATATACTAGTAATGGATCACGCCTGAGTCAGGGGATTCCCCGGCACTCCCTAATCGTCAAGAGGCGCGTCATAACCGTCTGGACGACACCATCACGCATTGAGGGAAATCTTTTCTAAGTTTTAGTTTACGTGGAAAGGAATGTTTCATCACTAGCAAATATTTCCTCAAAATGTGATCTTTGACTTCACGGTCGCCACTGTTCACTTGCTAGTGTGGGAACGACCACCTGTCTTAATACCCCACGCCATGTGGGAGCAAACAAATTGTTTGCATAGTCCGTGTACAGTTACGCCAGGACTGTGGAGGGGTAAATCTCTGTACCCTATTACCCTGACTGCCTGCTGAAACGAGTTCCACCACGGCTGTAATGAGATTAAAGACATGATCTAATGTGTGTGTGTTGTCAGTAACATTAGCCAAGTAATCCGTGCAACGAGCCACACTGTACCTGGGTGGGGCCGGGGGCTCATTTTGATTGGATGATGCAACACCTGACTACATTTTGTTACTCCGTGAAGGAGGTCAGGACCTCCGGACGGAGTGTTGTAATCGGCTGATTTTTCATGTTCGCAGTCAAAACACTGGGTTCTCTTCGTGTAATCGGCACGCAATTTTATACGCCGTCTGCGGGCATGCCCGTGTTGATGCACGAATGTGTATTTTTGCCGTTGCTGCTTTCGCGGTCAATGTAATATCGCAGACGCACCCCTACAATTACGAGGCGAATTGGAACGGTCCAGAAAAACGCGTTGTTTGGAATAGCGGGGGGGGAGGTAAAAGTTCATGCAGATACGGGGTGGTTTTTATAAGTGGTTCCAGATGTTTTTGCCCATGGTTAAGAGATGCCAAGTTTTTTGGAAGATGTTCGCAGCCAAAACGCATTCTGCCGTACGTCGCATATCTGTGTAATTTCGCATGTGGTGTTGCATTATGTCCGGGATGATGCACGTCTTTTTATTTTTACCGTAGCTGTTTTGATATTGGAGTAAATGCATATTTTCGAAACATCCCTACTTTTACAATCCTGTGGAATAGGCCGTAGGTTTAGGCAGTTGTCTGGTAGCAGAGGTACTGTAAGCAGATATCCTGGTTATCTGGCCGGCGGTAGTAACACTCGCGGTGCTTACCGCCACTGTTGCTGGAATTTGGCTTGTTCCAGGCGCGCTTAATTAGGTACAGGCACCGTAAGACGGTGGGGCTGTCTTTGTTACTAGACACGACCATGATAGTCCGATCTTTATGTGAATGCAATGATTGTGTGTGTGTAATTAAAATGAAGTTAGAACTTGAAGCACAGTATCTTTACACGCCCTGGGAGCAGTATTAAAAATGGATTTAGCTCTTTGTATGTTTTATGCTTGTGACGCGCCCTCATTGTATTAACCCACGCTCCTCCGCAGCGTCCGCTAGCGCGCTATAATTAAATCCACATCTGGGCGCGCGGCGGGGTCCCCAGAGCAACACAGTGCGGAAGCATTAGCGTGTATTTGTGTCCTGGGGCCGAGAACGCATTTTGCGCAAAGCATGCTGGGTAGCAGAGTGAACTGTCCTGGGGACGAGAGTTTGTGGCGCGGGCGGAGAATGCCAAAACTCCCTCCGTGGCTAAGTTCCTTCCGCGACTAACTCCCTTCTGGGCAAATGTAGAGGGATAACGGTACACCCTCATAGCGTCACCAAATGAGGTACTTTGTAAAGGTCCGTTTCATTTGGTATATATTACCATTGTGACAGCATTTTATACCCCAAAATAGGAATCTTGCGTCTTGTTTTAGGTCCCGATAGTAGAAAGAATGCAGTGTACATGTATTCAGATGGCCGCCGTGTAACGTTACGTACTAGCGAGCGCGCACGACAATACCGCCAGAGTAGAGTAGGTTATCCTAACCCTTTAGATAGCGCAAAGAAAACAAAAACGACAGATTTGCATTAAAGAAAGTTTATTTTCCATAGCCTGGGCTAAGCCACGATCTATAACCTATGGCTTCTCCACGGGCGCTGGGGACGAGCGTGGTATTAACCGTTGCCTAATTATAATGTCTGCACAGTAGGTCTGGCGTTGACGCTTGGGATTTTGTTGAAATATATAAAACTTCACGGAGAATTGTCGCCTATGGCTTCTTGTTAGTGTTGCGGCCGTCACTGTTGCCCAAAAATCAAAGCCTAAAAAGTGGGCTAATAATTTATTTGGGCCTATTATTTTATCACAGAATGAACACGCAAAGATAAATATGCACAAGAGAACATGCAAGGAGAAAATGTCCAAATTTGAATATGTCCAAATACATAATGATCCGCCCCCTTCAACCACTTGTTTGGAGTATTAGTGATTTCCCCCTGTCCCAAATACTGGTTCATCTCGGGCGGTTGGAATGTTGACCTCACTTATTCTACTGTCTGGTATTTCTGACATGCTAATTAGTGTATGTACACTACCAACTTCCTCCAACATCTAAATGTATATATCTTCAAGGATAGAAGATGCGACACATTTTTAACGTTTTCATGACGATTGTCAAGAGTATATGTTAGTATAGACTAGTACTACAAATGTTGAAAATCATGCTGAAAAAATGAAGCAAGGTGTCTATTGTTGGTTTATTCATGGTTTCTTGATGCAGTATTTGTTTTCAATTGCTTAAAAAGGGGATAACAAGTCAAATTTACCGTACGAACAAGTTATGTCCCTCATAGACCTGTGGTATGTTAACTTGCCCACCTAAGAAGCCAAACTATGTTACCTATTCCACTAGCATTTCCCTTTGGGCCGTTAACGTTGCCCACCGTCATTAATTGTTTTGAACTTTTCCCGGTTCAAATGTCTGCCTGGTAACAGGGCGCTCAAAAAAGGACGCCATACATCCTGGTCCACAAATTACGTGACACAAAGACGCACGATATTGGTGTTTTTCAAAGCGTGCATTGTTTCAGTGTTCTTATTTGCCTGGTTAAATAATGCTACAGAAAAGACCAATATTGTTTGCTGAATGGTCTATTGAGACAAAAGTCGGCGAGGAAACACTACTAACTTGACACCTGCACTGCAGAATGCGGGGGTGGAAGCGTCCCGCTCACAGTCAAAGAACGAGACATGCATGCAGTCGGGCCCTTTGTTCTTCATAGCCGGGAATGTTCCCTCCCTGGATTATTTTTCTATTTTCTCGCAAAGTCATGAAAGATAAAACTATCACGCCGTTCTGTCTATGTGCATTTTAGAACCTTGTTTGCCATGTGACATTACAAAATAGTATGCCTGCATCGTTTCTTCATTGTCCATGTACAAAATGTAGATCTCAGTCATACACCCCACATTATAGCCGTTGGGTCTCTGGGTCAGTAGCGACCTGCACGGGTCGTGTCGTCACATCTGAAACAAATATAAACATGTGGTCAATCAAAAAACCTCAGCCATTATGATTTTTCACAAACACGGAATCAGGAACTTTTTTCCCTAACATGACTCAAGTGACTCGAAGTTAACAGGCGGCGTCACCTACATAATTCAGTAATTTGCAAGTCACGTTGTGTTTTAAACAACTATAATGATATAATAAGTAACATGCTAGATCGCATATATGTGATTTTTACACTTGTACATCCAGATTGAAAACATTTCACAGTGTCGAGGTATAGTTTTTATACGGTAAGACAAGTTATAAGGTCTTGTAACTGCACATGATCCACATGTATCTAAACTTTACCTCTGTCCTTCCAGCATCGACGGTAGACTAGGAACAGGACAGCCGCCATCACTACCACACAGGACAGAACTATGCCCACCACAGCCGCGGGAGGCAGGGGACCTGAACAACAAGACAGTACTGTTACATACTGTTACTGTACCACAAACAATGCCGAGTAGACTGTTAAACAAACAAGTTTCCATAGCTACAATATTATGCACGGGTATATTGGTGGGAGGGGCACACCTAGCGTGGAAAAAGAGGTCATCTTGTGGGTTTACACTAATCGGCGGAAGTGGTGGAGACATTGTAACAAAATATATTATTTTGTGTGGTCAATTGGTCACCAAGGTACGTCACACGTTAGCAAGGAATTTTCCTAAATAAAAAAAGATAACTCACCGTTGTTGGGATTGGCCCCTGGTATGTCACTGGCATGGAAAAAATGCAATAATATTAAATATATATATTATAATGTCACTTTCGGGTTGTCTGTATCAGAATACGGTGAATATTTGTTTCTGTGTTGCTTTTTGTACAGTTTGATATTAGTAGAGCTAAGCTACACTCAAAGCAGAGGTTGGTGGATCCAAGAGTGGCGACAAAAAACGTGGCATATGATAGAAAGGTCACATTCTTTTCATCCTCTGTTTGAGAGTACTGTAAAGATAAGCGAAGTACCGCCAGTAAAAAAAAACAACATTTTTACATCAAATTCATTGGATTTATATAACCTATTTGTAGTTGACCATAAACGTTAGAACTTAGAGATAATCACGAATTTTAAAGACAAAACTTGTTACAAAGAAGGGGAAAGAACGTCCCAGAACCGCACGTGGCAAGTAGCTTGTGAGGGGCGTTCCTGTGCGATTCAATGCCGGGCAGGCGGTGGGAACTTACCACTTCTTGCATATCTCAGTCGCCGGAAAATCCTCACACAGACTGCAGGACAGGCATTCTTCTACCACTTTGTCCCACGCGAACCCAGGCTGGCAGTTGTCGCTCATGGTCTCTTATTCCAAGAAGCTTTCAATGTCCTTGCTAATTCAGAGAGAAAAGGCAGACGTTTGTCTTTCTCGTGCAGGAGCGTGGCACTTGATCAGCACTCCGTGCCCTTTGTAAGTTTGTATACTAGTCCGTGACAGCCGGCGGTGAAAAATCCCCCCGCTCCACCAGGCGTGCGTACGTGACTGCAGCCCGCTTATCGATAGTTGCCCCACCCATTTCTGACCCCACGTGCCCTATAAGCTCATTGAACAAACGTTACGAACAGAAAAACATCCGATAGGAACACCTTGAAGTATGCCGAGCCTATTATGCTCGGTTCAAGCTACAATTACTATTGTTTCTTAAGCAACTATAGGCAGTATTCAGTCAGCAGTGCAGGTAAAACTACTCTAAACAAATGTGTGCTACTCGGGAAACTCGTCGAACATTGATAGACGGATTTCAAGTTATGTCAGGTGATATTTGAACCTGTGTGTCGCTATGTGCGGTGAGACCATTTGTGTGCCAAGTTCAGACATGTTTTACCTCACGGTGGGTAGTCATGCATTTCTTTACACGTGCATCGTCTGCGAGTTGCGACCAGTACGCGGTTTTGTGGTCATACAGGTTATGGCATAGAATGTAAGAGAGCGTTAGGACTAGCAGCCAAACTCCTGCAGCCAACCAGGCGCATGACAGACATTGATAAGATACAGACCACAGACGTACAACTACAAACATGGTTCCGTACAGCTACAGATCTGTGAGCCAGTGTTTAAAATCATGTACTCATGATACTTCCTATTGACTTTGATCATGGAGGTAAAAACTACCTCCATGCTTTGATCAACATAACATGGAAGAGAAGCAAACATTTTAGATCACATGTACAACCAGGGTAACTAAGGAAGTTTAAATACAGATACTGAAACTCATTGGTGTGACCAAGGAGATTAAAAAGAATGCCTCTTGTTTGAACTTCCTTGGTGTGACATTGGATTAGCCTTCGCTACGTTAAACGACATTTGAACGGTTGATGTTTGTCTTCACACTTGTGTGATACGACAAGTGCAATGGCACCACTCATGTATTCATACCGTTGACCCGGGGTCATTTCCTGCATTCCTTGTGTACGTACATATATGTGCCACACCCGTTTCCCATACTGAACATCTGCCCAGCAACAAGGTGGTTTTTATAACAATTACCGTAAAAGGGGCGTGGAAGGGGGATTTATAGTTTAAGTAAGATACCGATGGATAGGGCAAAGTAGGGATTCACCGAAGGTGATTAGTTGAACAAGAAGAAAATGACGTATTGGCCTAAAAAAGCCAAAAAAGTAATCGTTACCATCGCATTCATAGCCGGGAATGTTCCCTTGTTCTTGCAAAGTCCCAAGAGATAAAACTAGCACGCCGTTCTGTCTATGATTTTTTTAGAATCTTGTTTTCCGTGTGACATTTCAAAATAGTATAAATTGATAAAGCCTTGATAATTTCTACGTCCACATATACTCTCCTGCACGGTCGTCACATCTGTAACAAATAAACATGTGGTCAATAAAAAACCTCAGCCATTATGATCTTTCACTTCACATACACGTTAATTAAAAAAGAATAAAACAAGCATGTCAATCCGAAACTTTTCCCCTGATATGGATGGCCTCAGGTATGTGACTTTTGATGCCCCTTTTCTGTCATGATTTATATTCTGATCGGTGCTCAGTTGGAACAAAGCCCTCGGGGAGATCTGATAAGGCGAAAATTCGCGGGAATAAGTAGTACAAATATTTGCCCCGCCCCGTATGTCTCTGCGTGGAGGTAGAAAAACAACTCTGTCAAGCCCCAGCTCTTTCAGAGTCTTTTGTGTCCAAGGAGTCATGTTCAGACATGTTACAGCCCAGGTAGTACATACATGCACACGAAGTACTGGTATGTGTAGTATGGAAGTTGACATACGTATATATATACTGATGTTATGTATCCTATTGGTAGTATTATAAATGTATTATAAATAAATATTGTGTTTTTATGAACTGAGATGGGATAGAGATAATGTAGGGTGTGTAACAGAGAAACCAATCACATACACATCAGTGCTCGTTCTGTCAAGTCTACCTATGGGAGAAAATCTGACAACTTTTACAGGCAATTCTATCCCTAGAATATTAATAGCTATTTCAAATTTATTCATATTTATCATATGTGCCACAAAAGTCCTGAGAAGACTTTATTTCTGACTGAAGTTTTTTAGGACTCCTATTGTACTTGAATTTGAACTGGCATGGTATCTCTGAAATTTGTTCTCAATTGGCTGATTTCAATAGTAGTACATTGTCCTTTTACACACACACACATCGTGGTTGTTTCTTGGTTGCTCAAGATTTTTCAGAAAATCGACTTGGGTCAGATATTGGCGTGGCACATTTTGATTGGACGATACAATCAAGTGGTAAGCAAGTAAGGCCATGAAGAACCCCTATTGGTGACATTGCCACAAAGGCTCACAGACATATGCGGGGGCATTCCGCACACTTGGGCAAGACGTACACTGTGACCCAAACAATGGCTTAGAAATAAAAGACGCCATTGGCATTTATCACCTAGCCTGGGTACCATCCTGGTTAGTTTACGTCCGCTCCCACAGTCGCTACCGGTTGGTCGGTAGCGACTGTGGGAGCGGACGTAAACTAACCAGGATGGTACCCAGGCTATTTATCACCTACAACATTTAAACTATCTTTGTTATTTAATCACACGCAGTGACAGCAGTAATTAACGTTAATGGAATGCCCGGGTTTTGACAGTTTGAATACAAAGAAAATTAGCCTTTGTCTCTTAAATAATGTAGTATGCATTGGGGGCCGATCTCGATATTAAGTTCAAGGACAAAAATAACCAAATATATGATCTTGGCTATTTTTGTCCTTGAACTTTGTGTACAAATAAAATGACGTTCGCTGGTCACGTGTCCCTGAGGATTGGTTTGCGTCACTCGGGCAGTGAACAAGATGGCCGACAGATCAACCCACGTCACATTCTTGCCATTTAATATGCAAACCTGATAGCACCGAAAAGTTCTACAGCACCGTAAAGCACTAACGGACCTTGTCTGTCATACTACATAATGTTCAGAGGGTGTTTGGGATGGTGTTATGAAGTTTTTGGCCCCACTTGGACAAAAACAGGTATGACTCATACGGCAAACAACGCAGTCAGTCTCAACTTATATATAACCATGAGTCAGCTGGACTTTCCAAACCTACAAGTAACATGCAAGATACGTTGTGTTGAGACAACATTCAGACAAGTCGCTGTTGGTTCCGACGTCCCGCAGACGAAGCATACCTTTAGTCTAACAAGTGGCTAACGAACGTTTGACCGTCATGCCAGCAGTGTTGTGTCCAGAGGGTCAGGTACCGGACGGACTTCCGGGTTCTTTGAACTGCGTGGATTGTGACACCTGTAATGCATACCCGGACTCGCCTTGGTGCCCAAGTTGTAAGTTTTTTCGTCGTAAATCGTACTTTTCCTTCTTGATAGCTGGTTTGTGTTGTAGCAGGCGACCTCGTTACTGGGAAGGTAGAATAGTTTGTACTCGTACTATCGGGCGACAAGGTAAACGTCAACCGTTGTCACAACGTCCGACCTCAGACACAACAACTTCATAGCGAGCCTGCCACTTAACACTCTCGGTCCAAACAGTCGTATTTTGCTTTATTGAAAATCATATGAAATTGTCTGTTTTTAGGTTTACTCGGCACAGAATCACCGGCAACACTGGGTAAGTTTCGTTCCACAAGTTTTGAAATTACTTGACTACGTGTGTGTGTTTATCTGTGCGTCGTTGGTGTCCACAGAGTCGTTTGCGGGAGGTATATGTGTGGGTGTCCTTTTGACTGTGTATGGGTCTTTGTGGCCGAGTGTGTTTACTCAATTTGATATCCTGACTACCTTGTTGCGACTGTGCATTATGTATACTGTGTTATTTACTCTCAGTAGAAGCCGACCTATCCTGGGTGTGGGCAGTTGCCGTCCTTATTGTGGTCGTACTGCTGATCGCTGGGGTCACTGTTTACTGTTGGAGGAGAATCGGACAGAAGCATGGTAATAAAAGTTAACGTTACTTGCGTTCAATATGAAGTCGGCTTTCTAATCCTCGCAGTTGTCTCAATGATTTCTCATAATATAACAGAGGGGAATTGAGGCGTGTAATTTGGGTACTATAGAAATTATTTTAATGCTGTCTTTTGTTTCATTTGCTTGTCATCTAGATCCAAACCCAGTCACCGTGAGGGCAGTGAAAGAAACTACCATGGCAGCACGTTCGGTTCCCTCTGATGCTAGCTACGTCTAAAGTTCGTCACAGGTACATATATGAGGATTCCTCATATTTTAACACTAATAAGGGCTGTGAATTGTCAACGATGGATAGATGGAAGTTCCTTTTGTATGTTCTGTATCAGATACATTTATGAGATGTGTAATTTTCTGTTCTTTCAATTTTCAAGTAAAAACAGACCTAATGTTGGTAATGTAGAATGAACAGTAAGAATACGTTATAATGTTTTGTACACAATTTTGGAAACGGCAGTGAAGACAGGCCATGTACATAACTAATTGGATTGTTATGATGTACATTCCACTGATAATGATGTTAGTATCATGAAGTAAGCATCTTATTTGTGGAACTTTTATATTTCAGGCTGAGTGTCTACTACAAACGAAGGCAGCTACAATCAGAGGCCAGCTTTGAAATACCAGCTTTGCCATTTTGTGAAAAATTGTGAGAAGATATCATAACTTTCTCTTCCTCTCATGGTTAGGGCAGAGACATAATGCTAGCTGTGTTGCATACTAGTATATATTAATATGTACATTTAATAAATGAAGGAATTGCGAAAGTTCTAAAGTCACCATAAAGTCACAAAGCTAGATGTGTTTGTGTAATGTTGTGTGTCTGTGCTATGGGCCATTGAGCCTGAAATAAACAATAAATGAACAAAATAAAATAAATTGCTTAATACCAGTGATGATAATCATACGTTTGTAATAACAAATCAAACGTACATACAGATTGGTGATGTTTACATGTGTTATGTAAATACATGTGCATAATCTCAATAACACGACAATCTAAACAGAAGACAAGTCGTCTTTGATAACAATATCTCTCATTTGCTACATATTATCTATTTGACAAGGTATCGTAATAGGTGCAAACCATACGTCACAATCCTAACAGATACTCGCAAACGATTATTCACAACAACCACCTAATATCTGCTCCCAGAACCTTGCTACTTAACCACACAGCTACTTATAAGCTACGGCCTACTCCACGGGATTATAAAAATGTGAAATATGCATTTACTTCAATATGAAAACTGCTACGGTTAAAAGAAAAACGTGCATCATCACGAACATAATGGCACACAACATACACAATTACAGAGAAATACAAGACAATCAACACAACATTTCTTAGTACTACCAGAGGCCAGATGTAAGATCTTTTAACTGGTACCGTAGACCTCCACCTCACACAGTGTTAAGGCGTCTGACGGTTCCACCAGCAGTATGGACACATACCGCCCGGATATCGGCGGGTCGCAGTCCAACTCGATGGTCTGCCCATCTAACAGCGGAGTGTCCATGTAGGCCTCTCCGCACTGCTCGTTCAGACGGGATGTCTCCTCCAGGCTCGGGCCGACACGCACCATGAAGTTCTGTTGCCTCTGGGCTGCAGGCGAATAAAAGACAGCAATTAACATGCAATACATTAGATTAGAATACAATTGGCAATGAGAAGATAATAGACCGATCCTGAAGCCACCTCCTTGGCAACGTCATAGCAACCTGAACACCTTAGTCAAAACTGTCGCTTCTCGTGACAGAATTTCCTCAAAATTTGCTCCGTTGCACTGTAACATGGTGCAAACACCAACCACCAGAGACGGCGGCCGTTATCAACTTCCAGGTGCTTTTGACCAATTGCCGACGTCACGTGTCCGTAACGTCACATTATATATTATCTAGGTGGTGATTTGAATTCTGAGGAAAACTGCAATAGGACAGTATATATGATTAGCCTCCTTCGCAGTATTGTTGGGCGTCGGCGTTATTTTTTCTCTGAGCGACGCAAGTAAAATGCGGCCGCGTGGGACGATTTGCTGCCGAGGGAGTTTTTGCTAAGGAGAGAAGGATTCGCGCTCTCCGTAGCAAAAACTCCCTCGGCAGCAAATCGTCCCTCGCGGCCGCATTTTACTTGCGTCGCTCAGAGAAAAAATAACGCCGACACCCAACAATACTGCGAAGGAGGCTAATATATGATACGGTGCGCTGATTTCTTGCACCGGATCAAAATGTAAACTTTGTGCTAAGTTTATGGCATCACGTTCGTGTCAAAACGAAACAATGATTGTCCTTACTAGCAGAGATTCTGTATAGGTTCAGTTCTGAGAGCCATGGCTGGTAGCCTTCGTGAGTCCGGGTGACCACGAACTTCCAATACCGGGCTGTTTCTCGGAAGTCGCCGAACTCCTGGCGCTGGTTCGTCCCGCCCTGCACGTTATCGACGAACGTGACATCCTCCCAGCTGTACGGAGCTCCAACCAGAGACTTCTGCAGTCTGAAGGCGGCAGTGTCATGGGTGGTGTCTCCGTAGTTGTTGACTCCGATGCGGATCAGAGTCGTGGGGGCTCGGAGGTCCAGGATGATGTACCAGTTGTTGTGGTACCGGGGAGGACCTACGCTGTTCCAGACGGTCTCTATGTCCCCATCCAAGGCGCTTGCGGCATCACGTAGTCTGTCCGTGCCCGTGAAGTCCACAACCCACGACGCATCCAGTGCCAGCCGTACACCTGGGAAGAGGGCACAGAATTATTGACGCTAATTTACATATAAGCAAGAAATTAATACATGCACGGAAGATAATCATGTTCGTGGTAGGTCAACCGTCACGTATTTTATGCCACACTGATGTGATGCCCGTATTTTCGACTTAGAAATGATGCCATATGCCGTTAACTGCACAGGTTACCTGTCATGATCAGGTATCTATTTCCTATTTACCTTTGTTACTGTAGTCTATACAGTAATAACAGTCACAGTGGTCTGTCGTGTAGCCGCACCAGCCGGACCCGGAGCAGCATCCGTTAAGACTGTCAGGGTCGCATTCTGCCGGGCTGCCGTCCTCCGCAAGGAAGTCTCCTCTGCAACGATGATCTTCCCGCCACGTCTTAGCAGTGTCAGACACGTTACCTTGACACGGATGAATTACCATAGTCACGTACGTTATCTGACATATGACGTGGATTGCAAATGACATATGAGACTCCATGTACCCTGCTTCATCTGTCGCCAGGTGTCGCTCTACCATAGTCACGACTCACGTTTCACTAGTACTAGTAGTCATCGATCGTTAACCAAGTTATCGATACGTTCACAGAAAACAGTAATTATAACATCTGTTACTCTGAACAGTGACGTGTCGTGGTAGGTTGAACGTTACTTATCTTATGCTTATCCCACTCGTGATGTGAGCTAATCGGAAAGGGTAGAACATATTTTGCACCAGTATTGTTGCAGCTATTGTAATTTGAATAAAACTTGTTGCCACCAAGTACAGTAGGTATACGTTCTACATGTAGATAGCTTTAAACAACGCTTGTTATTAGGTGTACAATGGGTAGGTGTGAGAGGTCGTTGAGTGTAATGTAACCAGTTACCGCCGCGTCGCGTGCATGTGAAGCTGGTGTGCTACGCCGAAGGGCGGTAATACTGGCTATACAGAATATAGATCCAACATATTGTCATCATATACTTACAGCAGTCTGCCCTGTTGAGAACGCTGACCCGACTGACAGTGTAGCTGCCTCCCAGGTCCACCGTCCACCACGGCTGATTCTCACCGTACACCGCGTACACGTAGTTGTGGTTGCACTCATAAGTTCCCCCGCCGATGAGTGTCTCTCCAGAAACAGCTTCCACTGCAGATGCCGTCGGAGAATCTTCATTTTCTGCAAGCAAGTAATGATGAGAGAGTATTGTCATTACTGGGCAAGGATTTTATACTGCAATTGTTTTCAATGCATATAGAATCATTACCGAGTCACAATTTCGTATTGAATAATCAAACGCAACGTCTGAGATGCCGATGGATGCTCCAAAAATGCAACCAAACGGGTCGTTTATTTTAAACATATAGGTGGACAACGGTCTCATTATGTACTTATAGGCTGGTCATATTTCATAACACTTAACGATATCCGTGTTAAAATACTAGTATTGTATTCAAAGTGTTTAAACAAGTATGAATATGTGGACTCACAACGTGCCCAACATTTCACAACGTGCCCAACATTATAAGCACCGATACCTACACTGTCTTCGTAAGTACTTCTAACCACTACTGACATGGTATGTCCCAACTTCAAAGACAAAGTATTGTTAGCTAGCAAAACAACATTACCAATTGATGTGTATAAAACGTTAGAATGTCGAAAAGACGACGTATAGGACAATGTAAAGTACTGTTAAAAGGCGATCATTAACATAGACTAGGAGTTACAGAGATTTGCCGTTATCAAGTTTAGACCTTACCACATAATGGCACGTCACAATAATCCCATATCGTGTCGGGATCCGTGGTGAAGCACCAAACTCCCCCGTCATCGTGGCCCGGGTTCCGGCAGTAGTTCTGCTCCAGTCCGGCTGTCGGGTAATTCTCAGGTGTATAGTCGTGCTCACCACTGTCCCAGCGCTGACACGTCAGGCCTGTTACGGTCACAGAGACTGTTCCCCGGTACCGGTAGGACGCCATTTCTCCCTCCTGGCAATTTACTGGTTGGTGACATTTAAAAAGAGATGTATCAATTAGCGCTGTGGACTTAAAGGACAATGTACGTTTAACTAATCATCAAACGTTATCAATTGTTACGTATGAAAGCGTTTTAATGAAACCTCAGGTCTTATCGAAGGTTACAGAATCCGACCTTACCACATACTGGTACGTCACAATAACCCCATGTCGTGTCGGGATCCGTGGTGAAGCACCAAACTCCCCCGGAATCTTCGTCCGGATTCCGGCAGTAGTTCTCCTCCAGTCCGGATGATGGGGAATTCTCGGGTGTATGGGGTTGTTCACTACTGTCCCAGCGTTGACACGTCAGGCCTGTTGCGGTCACAGAGACTGTTCCTCGGTAGGATAATCCGTTGTCCACCTGGCACGTTTCTGGTTGGCAAAATGTAAACGGATAAGCGACGTCTTGAAGTGGGGCACAAGTTATAAGTAATACAAGAGGGCATTGACTTCATACCTTCGTCATGTATGAGCTTGGATTGTCTGTATATACATGTAGTTTGACTTTTACTAGTATATATACTTTGCCAAAGGACGTGAACGGAATACAGAAACACACGTTGCTCGAGTACGGACATTTTTCGGCATATCGCGATCGAAGTCCCGATGCTTTTTGTGACATAATCAACCTACTTTTACTACAAATTACAGTTGATACTATCAGTCAATACATGTACGTCCCTACATATCCACTATTAACGTACTTAATCTTTAAGAACATACATGTACTCGTACACTGGGTGCTTCCGTGGAATTATCACCAGGATGAAGTCATCATCATCATCATCATTCATCCTCCATAGTAGAGGTGAAGCATACAAAGTTAGCTCGCCACAACTGTTTGTCATACATCACAGAGAAAAGTTCATGTCCCTCCAAGCCAGTTTCAGTTTCAATAAGTTTCTTAAGTGTTATGCTTGGGCGTCCAACTCTTCTCTTACCGGTATCAGGGTTCCAGAGTAGAAGCCTACTGGCTGGTTCTTCACTACGTACTACATGACCGGCCAAGCTTAGTCGTCGACATGTATGAAGTAGTCATTATTATTGTACATGTAGGTTTAGATAAAAATTGATCATTAACACAGAAGTTACAAACATCAGGTCTTATCGAAGGTTACAGAATCAGACCTTACCACAGACTGGTACGTCACAGTAATCCCATCTTGTGTCGGGATCCGTGGTGTAGCACCAAACTCCGTCAAACCAGTCGTCCGGATTCCGGCAGTAGTTCTGCTCCAGTCCGGATGACGGGTGATTCCCAGGTGTCCTGTTGTGTTCATGAGGTGTTTGACTGTCCCAACGTTGACACGTGCTGCCTGTTACGGTCACAGAGACATTTCCTCGGTACGATGCTCCGTTTCCCTCCTGGCAAATTCCTGGTAGGTAAACGCTGTCTTGAAGTGGGACATAAGAAATGCTATGAAATCGTTGCCAACAATATTGTAGGAAAAGTCACCAAGTTAAGTGCAAGCGCAAGCCGTTCAATGCTATTCGACACCAAATTTAGCGCGGGCGCTTTTAGCACCCTACGCCGCCACAACACCCCCCCCCCTCACACACACGTCTAGATAGGGTTAATCTTTCTTAATCTTGCTCCCGTGGGATCTTCACAAGGATGAAGTAATAGGTTGAGATGAAAATTGATCATTAACACAGAAGTACAAACATCATCTCTTATCAAAGGTTACAGAATCCGACCTTACCACATTCTGGTACGTCACAGTACTCCCATATCGTGTCGGGATCCGTGGTGTAGCACCAAATTCCCCCGGAATCATCGTCCGGATTCCGGCAGTAGTTCTGCTCCAGTCCGGATGACGGGTGATTCTCGGGTGTAATGGTGTGCTCGTGGGGCGTCTGACTGTTCCAGCGTTGACACGTCAAGCCTGTTACGGTCACAGAGACTGCTCCTCGGTAGGATGCTCCGTTTCCCTCCTGGCAAGGTCCTTGAACGCTGTCTTGAAGTGGGACATAAGTTATAATTGAATAACGATGTTGGGAGCGGGGGGAATATGGCATCATTTCCGTGTAAAAAATGTCGCACATAAAGATAGACGTCAATAGGTCTACTAATTACCCTACCTCAAATCCCCCCCACTCTTACCCAACCTGTTAATAATAGTAGAAAGTATGTGCAGATTAACGTACAATAACTTATCTCACTGCTATGAAATTGTTGCCAACAATATTTTCGGAAAAGTTACCAAGTTTAGTGGCCCTAGCGCAAGCCGTTCGGAAGCTATCCCACATCAAATTTGGCGCAGGCACTTTTATCCCCCCCCCCCGCGCAGTCTAGATAGTCTAGATAGTTTAGATGAAATTTATCATTAACACAGAAGTTATAAACATCAAAGATTACAGAATCAGACTTTACCACAAACTGGTACGTCACAATATTCATATCTCGAGTTGGGATCCGTGGTGTAGCACCAAACTCCCTAATCGCCGTCCGGACTTCCGGCAGTAGTTTTGCTCCAGTCCGGATGGATGGGAAGTTCTCGGGTGTATTGATGTGCCAATGGGGTGTGTGACTGTCCCAGCGTTGACACGTCAAGCCTGTTTCGGTCACAGAGACGTTTCCTCGGTAGGATGCTCCGTTTCCCTCCTGGCAAGTTTCTGGTAGGTAAACGCAACGTGTTCATTGTTTAAGCCAAAATAACAGATATCCAACTGCTATGAAATTGTTGCGAACAATATTTTCGGAAAAGTCACCAAGTTTAGTGGCCTTAGCGCAAGCCGTTCAGACGCTATCCGACATCAAATTTGGCGCGGACACTTTTACCCACCCTCCACCCCCCCGTCCTAGATAGGGTTAATCTTTTCAGAACATATACTTGGGTGCTCCCGTGGAATCTTCACAAGGATGTAGTAGTAGGTTAGATGAATATTGATCATTAACATAGAAGTTACAAACATCAGGTCTTATCGAAGGTTACAGAATCAGACCTTACCACATTCTGGTACGTCACAATAACCCCATGTCGTGTCGGGATCCGTGGTGAAGCACCAAACTCCCGCGGGATCTTCGTCCGGATTCCGGCAGTAGTTCTGCTCCAGTCCGGATGACGGGTGATTCTCGGGTGTAATGGTGTGCTCGTGGGGCGTCTGACTGTCCCAGCGTTGACACGTCTTGCCTGTTTCGGTCACAGAGACTGTTCCTCGGTAGGATGCCCCGTCTCCCTCCTGGCAGGTTTCTGCTCAGTGAAATTTAAACATAATATTATACGGCTCTTGGTGGCAATCTTAGAACGCTATCATAAACGTTCTTATGTTTACGCTGACCTATGTAAGGTTTACTTTACGTTTTAAGACGGATATTGATTAATTAATATCATCATGTAGTGAAATGAGAAGGACCGTCACTTAAAACAACGTTTGTGGTCAAAGACGTATTTACGTTCATTCTAGACTCCTTTATATGGCGAACTTTTCATACAAATTTAGGTTACGTCAACCATGTTAATGTAGTCATGGTGCTTAGAACTAGCAAAGGATCAGTGACAGGGCTGTACTATATCCACGGGGGCGATTTATGGGGCTGCAGTTCCTCATCAATAATGCAAAATGCCCTTACCTGTAGACTCGTCAATTGCTCCACGTGCGCTTGACTCTTCTTGTGCTCCGTCTGACCCTTCTTGTGCTCCGTCTGACCCTTCTTGTGCTCCGTCTGACCCTTCTTGTGCTTCGTCTGACCCTTCCTGTTCTTCGCTTGACTCTCCTAACGTTTCGTTTGACTCTGCCTGTGGCCCGCTTGACTCTCCGAATCGACTCTCCACCGTGCTTACTCAGTAGAGTTAAGACCATTTCACGATCCCCCAGCAATTTGGGCGTCGACCGCCTTAGCAACACATAGATACAACCTTTGACCCTGAATTTTCCAGATTTCTCCTATTGTTTGATAATTGCCCTGACCCTGCCCAGTGTGAAAACATTGCAAGAAGGGTGCCGGTGGACCAGGTGAAGTGATACCTGGCCTCTGTGGAGTGTGAAATGTTTGGCTGTCTGGGAACAGTGCTGGATGTGTATTATAATTGACAAAGGATTCATATGTCTAGTGTTTCTAATTTGTGTGATTCCCAGATCTGAACATTACACACTGGTCGATTTTTCTTTTAAATGTGACATTTTCATTGCAAATAGCCAGACAAGGCATAAACCTATAACACTCAGAGACTTTAGTAAAGGAGAACCTGGGTATATTTATAACACCAGGGGTACTGTTGATAATCAAAAGTCTAATAACCCTCCATGTTTTTCTGGATTTGATGCCGGTTTTGTTTGTTTTGATGAGCAATTTTTATTACAGGACGTAGGAGAGTACTCTTATACTAGTGTTTAGACTAGTGGTTTGACATACTGTAGATAAAACCTTTCACACACTTTCTTTCGAATTTTGAAAAGTTGTAGTAGCAGCTCTATAAAACCCTTTTGCGTCGGAGAACAACAGACGATAAACTGGATAGAGAGTGCGCCAGTGTAATCAACTTGTTAAAAAGCTTGCGCCAACCAAATTATAGTTATACTTTTTTATGTTATCGACTTGTTCCTTACGTTGTTGTAGAGTATGCTGGATCAAGAAATGGATTTTTGATAAAGTAGTATTTTTCTAGTCTTACAATGTACTAGTACTTTGAACCCTGAAACAATGGTTGTTTATTGCTGATAAACCAAGCCAAGCTGGCTGTCTGGCACTAGCAGGTAAAGGTGTGGACAAGCCGTGAACTGCCTATTGTTCTCCTCGGGTAGTCTGGTCCCCTACAAGGAAGGTGCTATGTCAACAAGATAATTGGCTGTATTGTCCACTTATCCCAACAAAGTGATCAGATTTCAGTTCATAAGAAACCAGAAGTTCAATTTTTGTGATCTTATTTTTGCCCTAAAAGCGCATCCACACACAACATTCTTTTGAGTTGCTGAACACATGTATAGAAAGTAGACAAGTTGTTCTAAAACATTGTGTCGGGCCCAGAGTGCACAACATTTCCAAGACTTTGCTGACCCTGTATGAATATTGCAAGCATGTGATTTTTGCCAAAACTCTGAACATATTAGATAATATCTCTGTTGTAATAACAATGATACACCTGGGATCGATGGGATGTTATAGAGTTTTTACTGACGAATACATACATACCAAATTTGTTTGAAAAAAGGTTTGTCTAGGGGTCCCGCTGGGCACTTGAAGTTTATAAATTTAGATGTGCTTATTATATCAATATAATAATATTGGCAAGTTATTCACAAAATTTATGTAGGCAGAGAGTTTGCCTTTGACCTTGTGCTTTAGTAGTTGTCGGAAATGTCAGAAAATAACCACCCAATAAGTGTACATTACACTTGAAAGTTGGGCTGTCAGTTAATGAGGCAGGGAGGCTCAGGGAGGGGGACAATGGTCTTAACTCTATTGAGTACGATTTCCGCCATAAGCTCTGTGGAAATGGAAGTTGCTGCACATGTACTACATGCTGATGTCAGGTCCTCGTGCAGTTGGGCTCTGCTGACGGTCTTGTTTTCCAAGCTTTCCACTCTCAAAACGATCGAATCCACCATTCCTAGCACGTCTGAGCTGTCGTTCATAGTATTGAGGGCCGCCTCCAACCCGTCCTGCCTTTCGTCTACAGCCAGAATCTTGTCATCCAACTTCTTTAAGACCCCTAGGTCCTCCCTGATGACTTGCAAGGAAATGTTCATATTGTCCAGTCTTTCCAGAAAATCGCTTTTCTCCCTCAGTTCTTCCACCTGGTTCTCTTTGTACTTCCTCTCAAGGGCGAGGACTCGGCTGTCAATGGTAAGGAGGCGTTTGTCAAGGCCACTCAGAACGTCTGTAAAAAAAACAAATCTTTTGATGTTAAAAGTTAAGATATGTAAGGTTAGACTCTGGTCGGGTAGCATCGGAGATCCCGATATAAGACTGTCATACTTCAATATTTAGTTTGAAGCATGACAACAAAATTCCTGACCATTTTGCAATAATTTTATTTGCAAAATATTTCACTGAGGACAATATTTCTTTTAAACATCTTGAACAATGAGCGGCTGTGTAAAAAGTTTTGCACAAAATATACGATATGCAACAAAATGTTTTAAAAGGATATTAGAATTAGTTCAACGTTTACGCTGGCTTATTCATTTATTCTATCCGTGTACTTTACTGGCACAATTTTATCCGTCGTTCATTAAATCAGGCTTTCCAAGTGGGTTCCTACTAAATCAAATATACATCAACTTTTTAAGAAAAGAAAAATTAAGGAACTCACAACAAGAACCGATTCCCACTAATGAAAGTTTATCCGACTTACCTTTGAAAGCAGTCATTGTCTCTCGTATGTTCTTCATATTGGCCTCGAGTTCACCAAACTTTTCAGCAGTCTGGAGCTCTCCTACAAATTTGATACAGAAACGGATCAAGAAATTCTCAAGTTTCCACTTTGCTAATTACTTTACCAAACCAAAGTTGTTGTTTTTTAAAACTTAGATATGAAGTGATGTTTAACGAACCTTCTGATTCAGGTTCCATTGATGCAGATAACACGCCGGTCTGGTCTTTTAGAAGGCCGACAAGACTCATCATCATCACCATGGTTACCACGCACTTTACCGCCATTCTATATAAGAAAGGGGAATAGAATTAAGACAGTGTGACACATTTCCTATTGCAATACATCTCTTGACGTCTTTTATATGCTGTCTTACATGTACGAGTGAGGTTCACACAGTGTCTAGCCACTCTACAAAATTACAACGCCAAATATGATTTCCTTTTCAACGGATGTCGTGAGCCGAAATCAGGACTACTCAAGACCCACTTATCAATGATATATGACAAGGAATCGACGGGCCACGTTTAACAAAACAAAATCAAACCTCGCGGTTCCTTGAAGCGCTTGTAGCTGTAGTACTAACTTGGCCGTATGTCAGTGTCCACCTGGACGTCTTGTGTGTGTGTATCTGTCTGTTGACTTGCTAATTTTGTTTCAACTGATTCCCATGGATTTGACTATACTGAAAAACCTAATGGAATTTTAACCAAAGTCGTTCGTAAACAACCATTTTGTTACAACTGAACTAATTACCTCGGTCTTGGTTGCTTGACGACGCCGATATACACTAATAAGTCGTTTGCAAAGGAATGAGAAACGACAATTTGGAACTGACGCACGGTAACTAGGAAATTATAAAGGAATCTGTTCTTGGTACACCAAAAGACGTCATTAAATCAACCAGCGATGCGGCTCCTTTCTTCGCAATTTCTTTTGCTAATCAGGCTGGCTTGAACAGAACTAACTGGACCAATGACGTTCTACAAGAACGTCCTTGATTGGACGCACCTTCTATGAACTTACGAAGGGGTGTAATTAGGAGTTTGTCGCCTTTTCACAAGCAATACTCCTTGTCAAATTAGTTTCTAAACATCCCTTCTCCTAATCACAATGATTTTTGTTTGCTCCAGCGACCGTCAGCCCAAGGTATGGGCCAGTACGGGCAACGCGCGTGCCCTGTACGTACCGGTACGTACCGTGCGTAAGCAGCACGTTTAAGTACGGCCTGCATACGGTAAAGTGGCAATCGCTCAGAGATCGAACGTGTCATTGACATTGTTTCAGAGTTAGACCTGCATAGATATGCATTTCTGTTGTTTTACATCAACTCAATCGCTCAAAATGTGCTAAAGAAAACGATGGATACCGAGGGGAAGATGTTTGGCCTACAATATGTTATCCTTTATAATCAGACAGCATAGTGATTTAAGTATAGTTAAAAGACAAACAATTGTTCCTCCCCTTTTGTGATGAGTAATTTAACCTTAATGTACAACAATACAACGTAATGGAACATACGTATACCTTCCCATGAGGAAACGTATTACTAAGTATTGAGTAGTAAGGGCCACAAAGCCCCACCTTTTCTTGTTCTCTATAAAAACAACATGCTGTGGTGTGAACCCCTTTGAAGAGCACGTTTACAAAGGTCCAATAAACACTTCCCTTAGCTGTAAGTCCGTGCTAAAGAGCACGTCCTAACACCTGCCCGTGTGTAACAAATAACCTGCAACTTGATCCGGGCCATTCATTGTGCAGAAACTGAACAGTACACCTAGGTGTGTTGGTAATAGGTTAGCCATTGATCTTAAAATACCCCTGCTGACGGTGGGTACAGGTCCCGGGGAAGCCCCACCGGGAACACAACCAGAACACACGGATGGACAGACCATCAGACGGCGGGTAACGGGACAAGACGAGGACGGTATGTACGCTAGCTGGCAGAGCTCGAGAGCGACATTTTATCACTAACATGTTTCACCATTGTTCAGCAAATAGAAATGGCAAGGCTATCGTTTGAAGTCAACTTGTTTGAAAAAAGCCAACCAGGGGCCATCTGGTCATGTTTAATAGGTTATACAAACCTGGTCACTTATTAACAATAGAGTGAGTTTTGTCGCCAGTGTAAACCTAGTAGTAGTCAAACTACTTTGGTTGTGATCTAAAGTACGGGTGTTTTTGTCCTGGGTACTGAGATATACTGGTACAGAAGGTAAGAAGAAGTCATCCTGCCGCGATTACAATTTCTAAGAGTTAAAGAAGTTAATAATGTTATACCAATTTGTATCGTTTGATATGCTGAGTGAATTGCCTCGATCTGTTCTATACAATAGATGGCGTCACCGGAGCGCACTTGGAAAATCAAGACAACGATCACGAGAGAAAAAATCAAGGGAATCACCAAAAAGACCTGGTCTACAAAATGTTCCCATCTCCTGCCCCGAACAACACTGCGGACCACGACTGCCTACTCTCAGAGAAAGACCGGTACAGAGTCAGAGGACGTCAAGGTAAATTATGCAGGCAGCAACAAAGTCTCTCCAGTTCCCTCTGTCCTGGGTTGTTCTCTGTATACCAAGTGTCATGGATTGAAACTCTTCAGTTCTTTTGCAACGTACTGTTCTTCGCCAAGTGATCTTAGGCCGTCCTTCTTTTCTCTTCTCTTCAGGTGTCCAATGTAGTGCTATTCTTTAGTCCATTTGGTTTTTTTTATCAGCACGTCCTATCCATATGGTCGTCGGTTTGTCGAAAAATTCAGTTGTATTGTGACAGAAAAAATTGCCACAGCGCCTTGTCGACGGTATGTTCTGTCCTAACCTTAATGCTAAAAACTGTACAGAAAAAATACAATCTTACGACGTATATATGTGCTTGCTTTTACGTAACCATGCTTTCAGGTAAGCTAAACGTTTCCCAACGTAGACTTACATGCAGCTTAACATAAGGTGAACATTAAATCATACTCAAACGCATATTTCATGTTTTGTATTTCATTTCACGATTGTTTTGAAAGCAAAATTCTTATGTTGCAACAAGGAAGCAATTCTATCTGGTGCCAACACCCGGAAATGTCTGCCATTTCTGTAAAGCATTTAGTGACATCGTTATTGATCTGTTTGCCTTGTGGGAAGGGTTGGCGCGCACGTGTATTGTTGGCCTGGTATGGTTGACAGCATGTCGTCAATGGGTAACGTGATATTGACCGGACAAGCTGAGACAGAGCATCTAGACCATTCATCGATAACAGAATCTAAATCATAGGGAAAGTCCCGTTAGTTTCCACACGGCAGTCTTGAGCTTGAATTTCAGATCTTTGCAGGTATATTTGAAAACTATGAACTGCCCTTGCGCAAAGTGTAGTCAGTTTAAAGTTGTCCTGACTTGAACACAAGCAATACTGTAATGACACCGCAAATGAAAATAGGAAAGATTGTGTAATTATGAATTGTGAATTAATTGTGAATCTAGATTAATTAACCAAGAGATTTATGTTACAAAAACAGTAGTAAATGTGATAACCATGATACAGATATCTAAAATAATATAACTGCCCTATCTGCCACACATATGCACACCCTCGCATATCAGACTGTAATATTGTGCCACTCAACATTTTTTCAGCAATTAACATTTTGTTTGTATAAGGATATTGATAACTAGTCTCAAAATTTCTTCTATTCCAGGCATCACAAAAATGCCCCGTCATATTGCCCAGCTCCGTCGTAAGTATTACTTTCATGGCCTTTCACATCACATGGTCGCTACGTACAATATGTGCCTGCAAATAATTGGCTCTCAAATGTGATGGAACATTTCCTGCTGAAGGCTGCACGTCATAAGTTTCGTTTTTAGTTTCCTTATTGGGGTAGCTTTACCCCCCTCCAAGTATTACAATAACTTATTTAAGTCTACTTCAGAATTTTCTGGCTTACTTGAACTGGGAATATATACACACCCCAGGGGAATACCATAAGTTTTGTTTTTGTTGTTTTTCCAGCCGTTTTTAATCTTGTGTGTACGATTGCTTACGGTGTGTCGTCATTGTTTAAACACAGGCCACCAGCGCGCAGAAGGAGAAGAGGCAGGCGTGGCAGCTACTTCTTCCTCCTGCTTATAGTGACCAGACAGACGTGAGTGTACAAACATCTTTTTTTAATTAACTCGAGTTGGACGTTTATTTTGAACCTGAAATAGTAAGAGATATCTGATAACATTTGTTTTGCTACATGTATTGTATAGGAGCCGCATGGTGATCATGATGCTGAGACGACTGGAACTCTTGATGACGACGAGCTCGGAACTGTACAACAGACGAACGAACCTGTCCCTGACCAGTAAGTACCATGTTATATCTTATTATCAAGGCGTTAAATCTGGCATAATCTCTGTTACTGAACTGTTCTGATTAGTGTCCCTTGGATTGTAGATCTCCACCGTGATCGTTTCATTGGACTGAATGCTTTGCTTTGAATATTTAAACGCTTTTGCAAATTTGTAAACTATGTACTTATATGTGGACTTATGCATATAGTAACGCCACTAACGGTGGTGAAGACACCGACGGACACACTGACGTTGAAGATGAAACATCAGACCCACAGGTGATACTATTCTACTTACTCCCGTATTGTCGATGTAGAATATCATATATTACATCTACTTACATCACCTGTTTAAAATGTTCTAATCTGATGATTTCAGCAGAAAATGTCCTGTTTTGTGGTGCATCGTAATATGCTTTTCTTCTTGGACATTATATATAAAAGGCGATATTTGTAGTATAACATGAAACAGGAGCTACAACTAAGACCGTTAATTTTCTACATTCACCTTCCATCTTAGGAGCACGCCTCTGAACTGAATGAAGATAATAGCACAGAGTTCAACACTACTAGTTCACCTGAGGTTTGCCAAGAGGACGACCCTGTACTTACCAGGCAAGTGATAAATTGTAATAATGCCAATGGACACGGTTGCTTTTCTAAATTTCATAAACCAATGTAGGATAGATATATCTTTTTCAACTCATGAGAAGGAAACATTGTCATTTACAACGTAAATTTTCTGGTAATTCAACGTCTGATCAAGTTTCCGTCTAGCACAATTGATTTATTTTGTAATGTATTGTTTTACCTGAAAAACTACAGCAATGATGACGAGGACAATGACAAACACACCACGTCTTCGGAAGGCAACACCGAAGAAAAACCGTCTGAACTTCAGGTAACGTTCAAGTTAAACTTACTGGCGGAAAAATGTCCCATATGAGAGTAGTTTTTTCCCAAATATCATTAAAGAAACAATCTCTTATAAAAGACTGCTTTGTTACTAGAACATATTATATATTTATGATATAACTATATTTGATATAAAAAAGACTCAAACCAATACTCATGATTAGCCTAACTCGTTTGTATAAAAAAAGGCTTGTGCTAGCCCCTGTTTGAACAATTAGGATTTATGAGGTTTTATTCCGTATTAGGTTTTATTCTATACTTTTTTGTACTTTGTTCAATATATAGTTGTTGCCATACATTGCACCATGTACAACTGTCGTGCAATAAAGTTCTTCTATCACAGGACACACTGAAACTGAAGAGGTGCCCAAGTTCCGATTCGCTCTTCTGCAAAGGACCCAGCCTGGTGAACCGCCCGTGGAACGTGTACGGCCCGGCTACGTACGGTTACGCGCCGTATAAACATGACAAGGGCCGATGGGACACACTGATGATCCTGATGGCGATTTTCTACACCTTGGCGTTTGTGACTTTGTGCATCACTATAGCCTTGTATTGGCTCAAACTGGCACCAGGTATGATAGAGCTTTTGTTATTACTATAAAAACACCAACAAGAGTTACATACGGCACATCACAGATGTGTTTCTCTCAAATCATAATTGTCATGATATTACTATTAGTACTGTTACATAAGGACGTACACGGTACACGCATATCACTCACGCATGGTGATATATCTGTAATCACTCTTATCATACCCAAGACTGTATGTGTTGTATATTGTGCTCTGTATCATATGAGGGATTTTGCTCGTTTTCGCTCATAAAATGAGAAGTAATGCTAAGGGTATTGGCAAGAGCTGAAGAAACCAGAAGAACGAGCAAGAGTCAGAAAACCCAGAAAAAACGATATATCTTCCTCTCCCTGATGTAGAATAGAGAGAAATATTATACCAACATTGCTATGTTATGTTCAGCTTTAGACCGTGGCCCGGTGCCAGACTGGCTCAGACAGAGGTACTCCTTCGCTGACCTGGAGACGTGGTGGCGGCTGGGACTACTGGACCACATCGAGCCTCCCTCGGCGACACCGACACCGACCCCCGAGCCTATGCTAACCGAGTGTAAGTAACAACTCAGACCTTAAAGATTGAACTTTAAACAATTGAACACCCAGTATACGTAACACTGCTAGTAAGCGTTTTCATCCTCTGTTCTGGATACGCTATGGTCTTGATATTTTGATGACAGGGATTTTTTAGGTCAGGAAAGGTGGTATTGGTCCTGGCCTCCAGCCTCCTTTTACATATTCGTGTCCTTTGTTGTAGATTGTGGCGACGCCGCCCTCAGTGCATTAAACCACGGGGAGTACACCTGCACATATCTGGAGTACTACCGCATCTCCGTCAGTCTCTGCATCGCCAAATGTGACGAGGGCTACAAGACAGACGACCCGGGCCTCCTGTTCTGCGACCGCGGCCGATGGGCGCCGATCGCGCCCGACGTGGTCTCGACGTTAATCGGGATCGGTCGGGCCATCGACGCCATGCCCAGAGAGGACGCCCGGGTCTTCGAAGAACTAGGCATCGCCGACGACATTTACGTCGACGTCATCGCCAACGTGCTGACGAAGATTGACGTCGCCGGCACGCTCTCCCCGGCCACGATACGCTGGTACCTCAGTCCGTTCTCCAGCGGGAATATCATCGGTGATCCCTACATCGTGCGGCAGGGGCTGAATCTGATCGGTCGGGACACCATTCAACGGATCTCCACCTTGCATTTCTTAGAAGTACTGTCGGAACTTGGTAGGTTTCGTTATTTATTTTACGTATTATGCCTTTTATATTGAACTGAAAGGAAATGATATATCATCTGAAATTGCGCGATGCCATCGGTTTTCCACCTTACCAATACTAGTCTATTTTGCATGTACTATCCTGCGTGGTTCATGTACGTGTATTTAAGGTTAACCGACAAATATTTTATTTCCTCAGAAACCAATGGTGCGTCAAGGAGGCCAACATGTAGAATGGTCGACTGTGCAAGAGAATCAGGACTACCGGAGGTAAAGAAGCGTCGTTAAGAGATTATGAAACCTTGTAGATTCAGATAGATGATTGCCCCTATCAATAGCCATTGGCATTGCTAACAATTATTGTGAGAGTTTTATCTACCGTTCAATGTAGTACATTTTGCAATATCAATCGACTTATTGTCTTACTTTTCGCAAGGTTGGCAACGGTCACATCGACTACACAGTGACGACATACCAGGCCGAAGTGACTGTTGTCTGTGACCGCGGGTTTGTTCCTCGGGAACCCAAGTTGGAGTGTCTATCTGACGGCAGCTGGGACCAGACAGCCGCATGTGACCCCGGTAAGGAAAATTAATTTTACAACTTGAACCTATTGGTTTTTCAAATAATATGTACGTGAATACTTTCATCAGGATGATGTCACAGAATAAAGAGACTACTTTTAACCAAGATGTTTATTCAGTCGACGTCTGTCACCTTCCTCAGGGCAATTCTGACTGGTTCGCATTGCACAGCACAGGTGTCACTTTGATAGTTTTAAAATGAAGTCTAAATCTTGCAGTTTGCTCAGTTTTCCAAGGGCGGTGCCAAAATGAAACATCTAACTTACCATCACAATGTATTGTCTCTAGTGCGATGCGATGAGCCTGGAACAGTATCTAACGGCTGGTACACGTGTGAAGGGTACGACTTTCCCGACAAGTGTCACATCAACTGTAAGCTGGGCTTCCACCCGACTGAGGATGGCACACTGGGGTGCGGCTGGACCGGGAACTGGACTGTCGTGCCGCGGTCAGACGTTTCGACAGAGATGGACAGCTCTCTTGTAGCGGGTGGGTATTAGGTTGTAACGTCATATACCTGCCAGTATTCTCTTTTTGTTCATTACATTAATGTCGGGAGATGTCGGATTAATTAAGGGTATATTGGAGTCACTGGGCCATTCATGTATATTAATGATATTTTCAATAAACAGTATTTTCTCCTTTTGCAGACCATATTACTCGTGGAAGCCTATCCTGTGCTATTGCGGACTGTGGGAGCATTCCAGTAAGAAAATATCTTATTTTTTATCAGTTTTTCTTAACGAATGTCTTTGTAGTATTATCCCTAGCTGTTAAATCGTTTGTAACAACAATCAATTACTAGTATTATGATAATATACTAGTAGTGTTGAACTTGCAATTTTTCTTTCCAGGTGCCTAGCGATGGGAAACTGAATTGTTCAGGGACAACCTATGAAGACCAGTGTGAACTGACTTGTGATGAAGGCTATGAAGCTTCTCTAGGAACAACCTTTCACTGTACGCCCGATGGAACATGGAGTGGCGTTCCAACGTGTACTCCAGGTACGTAAATAAAACGCAATGCTCTTCTGTAATACGTCGCGAGAGACAGACGGTGGACGGTACAGACTTTCTAGCACATTTGATCAACTGTGTCACATGTCGGCAAGCTAAGGTCACTGGCATAACCGAAAGACTGGGACATTCGTACTTGCAAGGTATGAATTAGAGTCGGCCAAAATGGCCAAAATACGCAGTTTTCTTTTTTGTGCTGGGATACAGTAGCTTGGGTACCATCTGGATTTTCGCTACGCAACGCTCTGATTTTTTCGAGCGTTGCGTAGCGAGAATCCAGATGGTACCCAGGCTAGGGATACAGACCAGTTACCGATGATATTACTAACTGGAAGGGTAATTTCTTTCAGTTGATTGTGGACGGCCCTTGTGGTTTCCTCACACTTCTATACACTGTGAGGACGGTTTCCAGTACCCGAATATCTGCAACGTCACGTGCCAGGCTGGCTACCAAAGAACCGCTGCAGAAAACCCGGTGTGTGGAAAAGACGCGAGGTGGCATTTCGTCAGAGCAGAAAACATAAGCGAAGGTACGGTCCAACATTCGACAATTTAAAGCTGTTTTATAAGTTCTTAATTCAAACAAAGGTTCTTAATTCAAACAAAGATCTCAATTCAAAAATGTAAAATGTCATTACCTCATAAATCTGATCTGGATTTTCAGAGCTGAACAGCAATAGAGACCAACCTGACTTGTTTTGCGAGAAAAAAGACTGTGGACTTCCACAGGTACGTTTTAAAGTTTTCATTGAAAAATAATATTTCTGACAATATTTGTGACAAATTTTCATGTATAATATCTATCAACAATATCTAAATCACTACAATAAAATGTATTATTATTTTGTGGCAGAATCCACAGAATGGCAGCATCAACTGTACTGGTACAAAGTACCAGGACTACTGTCTGTTGGACTGCGACCCTGGGTACAAGAATGCGGACGAAAATTCTGCCATCCTTCACTCTCTACACAAATATACATGCAATACTGATGGCAGCTGGAGTGAGCAGCCGAGGTACTGTATTTAAACTGTACACTAAAAGTAGCTGCATGTGTTAAAATTTTTGCTTCATTTTCGTCCATCCAATGCTCAGAAGAGTTTGATGCTTGCGTCAATAATATATATCCATAAATTCTTTTAATTTTCTTTGTCCATCTCTCCTGCTACTCCTCGTGACTATTGCATTTATCTTATTGTCATAAAATAATATAGGCCAACTAATGTATGCATGAAGTTGATTTTATAGTGTCAAAGGTATACAGTATTAAATGCATGAAGACCTCTGCGAGGTTGTGTTTGCCAAGTCTGTATGAAATACACAGTTCATCTGTACTTGGCTGCGATGTATATTAAATTCATTCATATCATTTCTGTACCAAAGGTGTACACCGTCCAACTACTGCCGGTTGGGACTTCACAACTGCCATGCGGAACACGGGATCTGTGACGTGATGGGACATCAGACGTACAGCTGCAGGTGCAGAAGGGGGACCTACGGGGACGGGATAAACTGTGAACGGCTGATGTGCCCACCACTACCCGTAAGTATCTACCGATACTACTGCTAGGTTTAAAGCACTTTTCCTACACGCCTTATGCTCCTGTACGTATCTAGATCTTGGGTTTGGAAACGGAATTCACAAGGCTCTTTTGTATCAATGGTAGAGAAAAGGAAAAAAATGCTGACATACGTTTTTAGTATTATTATTGTGCACCTTCGTGCCAAATATTACAGAAAGAATACAGAAGGATGGCTAAACAGTTTTATTTCCTATTTTTCTATAAAGAAAAGTGCATGGCCCATCAACTAGTGATGACGTCAGGATTTGTATATTTTACTTGAATAAAGAATAAAGAATGATTTTACTGTCTTCAAAATAATAGGGCCTAACTCTCATTTTCTAAACATCCAAAAAGGCCTCAGACACTGTTCTACACTGCTTTAAATCGAAATATTACTCCTTTTTCTGCCACAATTAATCCATAATTTTTACTTCTTGACCATGATGTTAGGTTGCCACACCGCCCCATGGATTCTTCACCTGTGCCAGGCAGGAGACAACACTAACGGATACGGTATCACAGCCAAGCTTTTGCTCGACTGTGAATGAGACGTCGGTTGACGATGAACAGGAGTATGAAGTGTCGTGTGTCCTGCACTGTGAACACGGCTTCAGACAGAACCTGTATGCGGAGTACTGGTGCAGCAGTGAGGGGAACTGGACCATACCTCATCACCTGAACAACACTGGGATTCAAGTTTGTGAAGGTATAAACTAATGTGTCCCAAACAATCAGGACTTAATTCCCATTAACAATTGTACTTCCTTCGCGATATTTACTCATGGAGACGCCTATCTATTGGAAACCATTTGCAAAGTTAACTGAGTAATTTGTGTTTATTTAGTAGATAAGGAAAACACCTTATGTGTTAATAGCATTGCAAAATATCTCCTTAATGATGGTGACAATATGAATAAAGCTGAATATAAACATACCCCAGTACAGGAATAAATTTGTATCCATTCATCTTAGTATCGTTTATATTTACTTCACTTTCTTATCCATCAAACGCACTATCCCCTCTGATGCAAACTCTTTTCCACAGATATAGACGAGTGCAGCAAAAACAATGGTGGCTGTGAACACGACTGTGCGAACACTGTAGGGAGTTATCACTGCACCTGTAGAACTGGCTATCAACTGTCTGGAACACACAACTGCACTGGTAAGTGTTATATAACATTCTTCATGATCACCCCTAATACGTTATCAGGCAAATTTTGATACACCATAATAATCAATATCAAAAGAATGTCTCACATCGCTAATGCTATCCCACCTGTTTTCACCTGTTTTTATCAAAAATAATTTCATCAAGGTTGATAGAACATAGGATATTGGAATTGTTTTATACACAACCAGGTACTGTTCCTATCTTGCTTACATTTCGATGTCTATCAGACACCTTCCTCAGAGCTTCTGACTGGAGTACTGCTGAGGAAGGTGTCTGATAGACATCGAAATGGAAGCAAGGTAGGAACAGTGCCTGGTTGTGTATGAGAAAATCAGAATATCCTAATTTGAGACTTGTATATTTGTATGAGATAATGTAATGGTTATGATCTTACAGATGTGGACGAATGTGCCAGTCTGAATAACGGAGGCTGTGACCAGGGCTGTGTGAATACAGAAGGGAGCTTTTACTGCACCTGCCGACCTGGATACCAACTTTCTGGGACAACAAACTGCACTGGTTGGTATCTGCTGTAGCGTATTAGATCTTGATTTTGTACTTTTGACCCACATCTTCTGAATACACTGGTTGAAATACTTGCATACATGTAGAATCAAAGCATCAATGCCTTCCTACTCTTTAGGACCATCATCATCACAACATTAAAGCAAGGACATTATCCTTGATTAAAGTGCATATTAAATGATCCCAAAAATGTTTTATGAAAGTGTCATTAATGTCTCTGCTGATCACACTGTTTTACTTTTCATCTTTTGCAGATGTCAATGAGTGTGACAGTAACAATGGCGGCTGTGAACACGACTGTGTGAACACTGTAGGGAGTTATCACTGCACCTGTAGAACTGGATATCAACTGTCTGGAACACACAACTGCACTGGTATATGTAACGACATATACTTTTCAAATATATCCTCTGGAGTCTTCTTTAAACATGTATTCTCTATCTGTGGAAGACACCTGGTTATCATTCCACATCATTGCATTCTGTTCAATCTTATCTGAAATACATTAATTAGTAGAGACATGCATGCAATGTTAGTTGTAACTGATGGCATACATGTATACTCTTTACAGACATAGATGAATGCACCATAGGGAACCACAGCTGTGACCACAACTGTGTGAATACAGAGGGCGGCTATAACTGTACCTGTTCAACAGGCTACCGACTTTCTGGGACAACAAGCTGCATTGGTGAGCATCTACTGTTGTGTACGATCTCTTGATCAATTCTGAACCTGTTACCTACAACAATCATCATAGGTGGATATTATGATACTGTCAAGAATTAGCATTCCTTTGGTTTAAACCATTATGATGATGTTTATAGATTACACATTAAATGATCTCCAACGCAAAAGAATTGTGCACTCTTAAGACATATTAATAAAATGTACACATCTTGTCTAACAAGCATGCTATTACTCTTTATCTTTTACAGATGTCAATGAGTGTGACAGCAACAACGGCGGCTGTGAACACACCTGTAGGAATACCGTTGGCAGCTACGACTGTTCATGTAGAGGTGGCTACCAGCTATCAGGAACACACAACTGTATAGGTAAATATCCCGAAACATTGTAGTTGAATTGGCTTTCTTCACAGTTATCGATGTACCTGTAGTGCTGGCTATCAACTGTCTGGAACACACAACTGCACGGGTATATATCAGTTTCATCTTCAATATAGCTTCTCAATGTATGTCACATGTTCTATCTGTGGAAGAGTCACCCATCATTTCATACTCTGTGCCATCTCACCACTAACAATTTGGCAAGAATTATAACCTGCATAATATTACTTTTATAAGCTAATGTTAAATTCTCTTTTCAGACATAAATGAATGCACCATAGGGAATCACAGCTGTGAACACATCTGTGTGAATACAGAAGGGAGTTACAACTGTACCTGCCAACCTGGATACCAACTTTCTGGGACAACAAACTGCAGCGGTATATCTGTCATACTACCTTGTAAAATCAAGTAGTTTTGGTGAAACGGTTTCACATTTGATGGATAAAGTTGTATCAAATTATTAATCTCAGGGGAGATATCACCAAACTGTGTAGCTCTTTCCGAATCTTTATGCTTGAATAAGCTACCACCGACTGTTATCATCATCCAACTCTTGTGCACAGATATCAATAAGTGCAACAGCGATGATCAGGAACAGATACATAGCATGAAATTCTCTACAATTCCTTATCTTGAAGTACCATCCTAAGAAGGATGTTAAATTGAGTACAAAATTTGTTTGCAGATGTGAATGAGTGTGACAGCAACAACGGCGGCTGTGAACACACCTGTAGGAATACCGTTGGCAGCTACGACTGTTCATGTAGAGGTGGCTACCAGCTATCAGGAGCACATGACTGTATAGGTAAATATCACGACACATTGTAGTTGAATCGGTTTTCTTCACTTCGACCACATCATTCTGATTTTTAGGTACCTTGGAATTGATGCTGTCATACCATTGCACTTCTATTCATATGTACTTTACTGTCGACTTCTACAGATGTGAGCGTACTTAATATATACATGTACTAATGGAATGTTACAGACACAAATGAATGTGACAGTCTGAATGCCGGAGGCTGTGAACACAACTGTGTGAATACTGTAGGCAGCTATCACTGTACCTGCCGGCCTGGATACGAACTTGATGGGACAACAAGGTGTAGGGGTACGTACCCTCTTGTAATGGTCTAAGATCTTTTACATTACCAGTTCCCAGTATACTCACTCAATATAATACAGTCCTGTAGAATTGTAAATATCCCAGGAGAGAGTGAACAACATTGTCTTAACTTAAAGGCTAGGTAATTACCTAGTAATACAAATGTCTATCAGCAATCACCATGTATTCTCTTTCAGGAGTGGGATGTGCACCCCTGTCCCTGTCACATGGTAGCGTCTCCTGCACCAACCAGGCATTCTATGGCTCTCAGTGTAGGGTGAGCTGTGACACTGGGTACTATCTTACAGCACCCACCACCCTGCTGTGCCATAACAATGGCTCATGGAACGCCAGTACGCCCAGGTGTTACGGTGAGTTTTCCCATTGCAGTGAAATTTGTATGTTTGCTTTCGTCTTTATTTCATTTTTTTCTATCTTGGTATTTTATGTTTACTGAAAATTTCAGACTGAATACTAATATTCTCTCTGTTATTCCTGTCTTGTCTAAGCTCATTCTTTTTCTCCTTTGGCAATATCTTCCTAGAGTGCAACAGTGCAGTTGACATCATCATGGCAGTAGACATTACTGGCAGCGTTGCACCTAACATCAGCAATGTTCGGGACCTATTACGAAACATTGTCAACCGTCTACCTATAGGATCAGGCACTAACCAAGCACGAGTGGGGCTGATAAGGTTTTCTGACTATAATGATGATGTAACGATTCCCCTGACACAAAGTATCAACAAAACCAACCTTCAGAGCCAGATTAACAACATACTAAATTCACCTACTGCATTCACTTCTTGTGGCAATAATGTTGGTCCACGAGCTGGAGGTCAAGTCTGTGCATTGGAAAATTCGTATGACCAGTTTCATGTCAACAACAGACCAAATGTCGGACAGATTGCAGTCATGGTAACAGATGGTTATGAGGTGACTCCATCAAATAGCACTATCCCTGAATCACAGGCATTGAAAAATTCAGGAGTGACAGTTATCTGCATTGGTGTTGGTAATTATGTTAACGAAGCTGTTATGCGTGAAATGGCAAGTTCCCCTTTTGCCGATCATTACTTTGAGTCCTCCATGCGCAATCTGAACGAACTTGTCGACCTCCTGCACCCCAAAATCTGTAGCTAAACAGTATAAAGGCAATTGCAATGTCATCCAGATTGATGATAATAAATAATATTTTATGTCCTGGTGACCCTAAACCTGCATGTCATTACAGTCACACACACATGAAAAAAGGCTCAAGGCCAATTAGGAGACAGTATTCCATTCTATACTAGGGTAAAAACGTTTGTGCTAAATAAATGTGTAATTTACTGTTGCAAATAACAATTAACAGAACTACATGTACATGTGCTAGTGCACATACTAGCAATCAACATGGACCTGATAACTTATGCTTCATCAATGTTAAGTAGATTGTTTTCTCCATTTGGAAATATCTTCCTAGAGTGCAACAGTGCAGTTGACATCATCATGGCAGTAGACATTACTAGCAGCGTTGCACCTAACATGGACCAAGTTCGACAGCTCCTAAGTAACCTCGTCAACCGGTTACCTATAGGACCAGCCACCAACCAAGCACGGGTGGGGCTGATAAGATTTTTGGGTGGAGACCATGTAACCATTCCATTGGCTCAGAGTACTAACAAAGCCAACCTTCTGAACCAGATTAGCGCAATAACAACAGCCAGCATGGGGTCATCATGTAGCACTGGTCACAGTGCACACAACGGAGGTCAAATCTGTGCATTACATAGTTTGTATCACCAGTTCATTAACAACCGGAGATCGGGTGTGAAACAGATTGCTGTTATAGTAACTGATGGTGGAGAAGCATATCCCTCAGCCTCTGCTGCCAGCTCTCCAGCTCAGACTTTAAGGGCCTCAGGAGTTACTGTTGTCTGTGTTGGTGTGGCTAGCGTGAACATGGATACCATGCGTAATATGGCAAGTTCCCCTTTTAACGATCATTACTTTGCCTCCTCCATGGGCAATCTGAATGAACTTGTTGACCTCCTGCATCCTAAAATCTGTACCTAACTACAAGGTCATGACAGCCAGATTCACAATTGAACTAAAGATGTAACATGTTATGGAATGTAGAATGCATTGAAGGTGGAGCATTTGTCAATTCTTAGGATCAATTATCATCGACAATCTTCATATCTAAGTACTTGTACCCATAAGTGTCATTGTACCCAAGAAAGAAAAAAAACTATCTTAGAATCACTCAAGATAGGACTCAACCACAATTTTTGACATGTAGTTTCATGTTGGAAGTGCCAATTATTTATAGCAACTGTTTTGGTGTTGAGGCATTACTTTTGTTTTTATTAATGACTACTGACCTTGTGTTAGGAGTATGTGTATATGTGTCTGTGTGTACATTTTTGTGTGCAAAGACAAATACTGTAAGACAGTAAACTATAGAAAATGAATAAATAGTTCTTTGAAGCACAATGATTTGCATCATGTTTTTATCTGACGCTTCATAGCACAGTTAATTTTGGACAAGAGTACACCAACAACTAAGGCACCTTCGTAGAAATCATGTTTCAGTCTCACACATAGCTCGGTACACATTGAGTTGACTTCCAACAATTTGACATAATCCCCTATTAAGTACAGATCCCTTTTTAAGTTTTCAAAGAAGTGGGGGGGGGGGGAGCGCACAAAAGACTAAGAATATGTGTGATGATATACCAGTGGAACCACAAAAAAAATAATGGTTCCAAAAGCATCAGGAATCTTTCACAATAACAGGCTACCAGCATATACTGTTGGCGTCTGTACCAACACACTCCTTTATTTCCTGGCAGTTATGCCTTATGGTCTGTGTTTTTCATCTCCAGAAGCATTAACCAGCACCCCAACTTTCCAGTGTACCAAATGCACATACATGTATGGCACAAAGGTAGCACATGTAGGCTGCTAATGGTTAACTAAGCATTCTGGAGGCATGCCACAGCAATTTGGTCATCCCTGTTAAACTACATGTACTGTAAAATCTTGTATTGAAGTTGCATAATTTTCTGTAATTGCACTTTGTAAACATCTACTCTTTATCTAAGGCCTGATTATTTCAGCTCATGACACATTGTTCCTTAAGAATTGGACTCCTGTCTAGTCCACATTCACACTGTTGTAGATGGACGGATACTCTTGGAAGTACGTCTGAAAGAAAAAGAGATTGTTATGACAAATATTCGTGACTACTGATACTGGTTAGTGCAACACAGTATGGTCATTGTACCTTACCGTGGATAGAGTCATACTTTTACAAGTTACTTTTAAGGGTGATATACACATTGAAAATGTGCAACCTGTCCCTATATTGTACATCGGAATGTAATGGTGCACAATAGAAGTGCAGCATACATGTATGTACATTGTATGCCTCTTCATAACGTACCATGTAGAGTGCAATACTCTGAGTTGCATAAAAGTTTGACCCTTCACATCTTACCTTGTACAGTGCAAGAGGTGCAATACTTTTGCCATATCACTTCATACCTCTTGTGTTGCAATGTCGTGGTGCACAACAGTAGTGCCACACAGCATGCACCTTCAGAACCTACATGTAGAGTGCAATACTCTGAAATGCATAATAGTTTGGCCCTTCCCATCCTACCTTATACAGTGTAATGGTATAATGGTGCACAACAGTGGTGCAACCCAGAACCTACCCTGTAGAGTGCAATACTCTGGTGCACACTGGCAGTGCAGCCCATCTCCCTGATGGAATGCATGCTGAGTTGAGGTGCTCCGATGTCCACAGTCTTCATGCCCAGCTTGGCTGACAGGATGGGACCGATGGTGGAGCCACAAGGACTGTCATTACGCACCACAAAGTCCTGGAATGAGACGGTTTGAGTTTTTAGTTTATTGCAATCCACTTTTACCTTTTCGAGCTATTCTTCCGGGGGGGTCAGGGGTTAATATCTCAGGGGGTAATTATTTAGTTATTCGTCAGTTTAGCATGAAAATGTTGCATGCACAGCCAGGGCTGACCAATTAGCAAGCTATCATTAATACTATTGATGCTTGAAAACTGTAACTGTCCACTCCAAAAGTTTATATACCAGGGTACACTCTGGTCTTTTGTTGTTGTTGTTGTTGTTACCCTATATGCTGGGACTGGCATAAGTTAAGGGCAGTAAGTACTAAGTAAGTATTACTCTAGTCTACTTTTTTAGAACTAAGTGGTCAGAGGGCTCTTCGTTTACAGGATGACATCTAGCAAAATGTTCCCCACCTGAAGAGGAACATCAGCCTTAGTCGCCACCTCCCTCAGGATAGACGTTGACACAGCCGTGGTGGCGTACTTCTGGTTGGCATTGAACTTGACAACAATTCCCTACATGGAGAAAATAGGCTCTAGGTTTTACGAGGTTCAGTGTCTCAGAGTCTATCTATACATCTTTGAATACCTAAAAATGAAGAAAAAAAATTTAAACAATCAAAGATTCAAAGCAATGGATTGTAACATACTGCATTCTAAAATCTACACAATATCAGTGAATATTAGCTAGGTATCCACCATTTGTTTCACATAGAAGCTTTTTCAGCTAATGCTACTTAAATGTTATGCTGTTGAAGTTACCTTCCCAAACATGGGCTTGTGGTCCTCTTCATGCTTCTCTCTGAAATACATGTAACAAAGGCAATATTCTTATTCTAAGAGTGGTAATCCAAACAAAGAGTGGTATACATATATATATATACCGGTAAAGCACTAAGAAAAACTAATTCAAGGAAACATACTGGTACTGTGGCAGTAAGCATTTTATACTTGATTGTCTTTTCAAACATAACAATATTTCCATTCTATTTTCCTCTACGACCAGACAATAACCATACATGTACACAAGCATAAACACATATGGCTATCTTTGAATGTTGAAGTTAATGATTCTACAAAGTTCTTCCTTATCATTAACTTGCAGATAATGCAGTCAGTTATACCGGCTATACAGACACAGATAGTGTATCTATAGAGTTTTTGCTTACGAGTAGTTAGGATGGACAGCGTGTGCCTGGTCTGCACTGAGGAGGAATGATTTGGGGATGGCCTCCTCGAAGCAGGTTGCATGGCCCCCCACAGACAGCCTCCTCAGGATGTGTTCAGTCAGCATGGACCCTGCTCCATGGGCAGACTGTGAGCCTACCTAGGTTTAACATGGGACTTTAACCTTCTACATACATATGTGTACTGAGCCTACCTACACAAGGGTTTAACATGGGACTTTAACATTTAGCATACATACTAGTTGTATTAAACCTCCTTGTACTCACTGAGGTTTTCAAATAGGAGCTAATTTTACATGACATTTTACAAGTTTCTTACCTCTTCATTGTCATACAGCGCAATGAGCCTGATGTTAGGGTCAGAGGTCAGTGACCCCTCTCCACCACTGGACTCAATAAGTCCCTAGGCAATACAAGGGCGAAACAATGACATCATGACAAATAGAATTACAGAATACAATCAAGAAAACATCTAAGAAAAACCTTTAAAGACAACATTGTTAAAGAAATGCTGCCGCGCCGCATGCCTGCGAAGCTGGTGTGTTACGCCGAAAGGCGGTTATACTGGCTATACAGATACAGATATAGAAATGCAATTTATTCATGGATACAAAGTTTCCTAAAACTGACAAAAATCACCGCACGAAAACAGCTTTGAAACCAAGTGATATCCTTTCAGCACCAAGGACAGGGTAGGATATGTACCTTTTTCATTTGATGCTCTGGTTACATGTGCACATGTCAAGAAATTAGTCAGTATTCCTCATCCCAAACTCATGTCTGCCCTACCTGTAAGGCACAGTAGCTGCTGAGCAGGTTATCCAGTCTTGGGGAGAAGAGGAACTCATTCAGGGCGCCACCGATGACCTGGAATTAAGGGGACAAGATTTGATGAACACTTCAACATGAAATTATACATCACTAAAAAATGTTTTTATAAAGCAATAATGAACCAGTATCTAAATAGGGTACGGAATGTTCCAAAGCAGCCTTGGAAACCTCTGCTTCTTGGATCAGTTAGTCCTTACTCTCAGTGAGTCCAGCTTTGATGTTTCTGGTTTGGGGAGAAGAGATGATGTTCTAGTAAACCTAAATTCACTCACTGGAACAGCATCTCTTTAACTAACTTCAGTGCATAAAAATGGTACCTTGGCTCTTGCATTGAGCAAATTTGGTTTAAACTTTTACCAACAAATCTTTCAAATGGTGGGTGACTATATGTGTTAGTGTCAATGACAGTAAAAATCATGCCAGGTTAGCAGAAGTTAATATTGACATGATAACTCACAGCAGGCTGAGTGTCGGCTAGACACAGTTCAAAGTCCAGAAGGTCCTGCCTCTGGATGCCCAGCTCAGTACACAGGAGGGACACCAGCACTGGGGGGTGCTTGTCAGCCTGGGGAAAAGAAAAAAAAATTACCGTGTTTTACAGTCAAATTTTGTTTATGAACTTACATGTACAGTAACACACACCTTTTAGTCTCTAGATACAAACATGATTGATACATAGATTTACTACTGAAGGAACTAAAAGCTCACTAAGAAAAGGCATTTTTTAAGGTTTGGCATGAAGGAGATGTGGACTACATTTTCTTAAATCTCTAACCTGGCATGTTGGATCCTCCCCCTTCTTTGGTGAAGTGTGCCCTTCCAACTGTGCCTGTGCTGCTGTACACAGGACTGGTACACTAACAAACACAGGGAGTTACAAGAACATATACATTACTGAAAGGCTGAGATAATGACAATAACACATTTTTCCTTATCAGAAGAGGAGAAATGGACAAGAAAAAGATCTTAACCATTTCCTAAATTGAATTTTGAGATTTATAGCTTTATACTTTGTCTCACAGAAATGTATAAAAAGTCTCACATGTTGGTTTCCTTATTTGGGCCGAAGTTGTCATTAGTGTCCCTCATAAGGTGGATGGCGATGTTCGGTACACGCAGGATTGGACGGTCGATGTGGACCAACCGGTGCTCGATCTTGTCCGCATTCTGGGTCAAACATCAAAAGAATCAATAAACATTCCAATTCAGATTCTAAAATATTTTGCTACACAATTTGGTACATTGAATGTTATAATAAAAAACAAAACATAACAATGTACATGTACTAGGATATCCACTTTTATTGCAAGCATTACAAGACATAATGTTTACCTAATAAAGAATTACCAATCTGAAGGATACAATAATGTAAGACATTCACAACCATCAAAATACAGTCAAACCTGTCTATAGTGGTCACTCAAGGGACTGAGCAAGTCTGACAACCACTATTGACAGGTGTCCACTATAGAGAGAGAAGGTCCATACCTGATCACGAGCATATATGACACAGACTTTCAGTATCTCATAGATATCTGTATTCAATTCCTGTCCCATTTTTAAGTTGACATTTACAACTCAAATATTGTCCTCTTACTGTTGTTATGTACATGAAAAAAAAAACATTGCAATCAATATCATTATATCTTTGCCCATTTACTATAGAAAGGAAAATTTTCTCATGTGAGAAAGTATGATCCTACCTTGACCATGACTCTGCCGGCTACAGTGAGGTCCCGGTCAAACCAGGTGTGCCAGATACCACCTCCGTAACATTCCACACCTACACACTGGTAACCGCTCTTCAGCTTGTTGGACTTGGGCTTCACCTGGAAATCAGTAAGTTGTCAGGTTTTGAAGAAGTAACATCAGCTTAAAGCATTGATACTATTACTATGATAGATCAACTTCATTACCAGGTACTTTTGATAGAATATTTCATGCAATTCGCCATATCTAAAAATCATACTTCATTCCCTAACATGATTAAGACGTCAGACATGCTTCAATGTTGTCTTCAATGTTTTCATTTTTAAACATTTGATAAATTCAATCATGTAACTTTCTCTTAAGTATTGTCCAATTGTCTTTGAAAAAGGAAATATAACCTCCTTGCTTGAAGTCTTCTTATGGCTCTTGGAACATATTTGGCAAAGATGAAGGACAAAAATTCCCCATTCTGCTTTCTTTGATTTCAAGTCCATCTCTATATTCTAACAGGTGTTACTTAACTTAAGGATTCAAACCTTCAGACATGGGCTGTCTGTGTGTGCTCCCACGATAGTGAAGCCATTGCCAGGTTCATACTTTCCTCCCACAGCAAAGGCTACCACACTGGACTGGTTCCTCGTCATAAAGTACTGGGATGAACAAAATGTGTCTTGTGTGTCAGTAGATAACCACTTACAAAGTTGTAAATTCATTTATTTAGTGGAGTTAATATCCCAGTGGGCAGGGAAATCAGGTTTTCACTGTGTTTTGAGATCATGGCCAAAACAAAAATGCTACAAAAAACAAACCATCACAAATATCCTAAATATTAATAGTTTCTATCAAGTACCTGAGTACTTAGTACTCTATTAGAGCAACAAGAGCAAAGTATTCTTCTGAATATGAACCCAGGCCATGGCATCTTATTGACTCCACTAGAGGTACAATGTAGTCCCATAACGGGCATAAGCAACATACAACCATCGTCATGTACGGCGATTGGGCTCTCTGGTGACTAAGAAAGTTAACTGACCTTGTTATTGGGTTCTATTTTCCATTGATCAGCCTCACGCAGCTCACTGAAGCCTGCTGCCTTCAGGATGGTCCTGCACTCCTCAATAACTGATGGAGGAAAATACATTCATATGATTATTGTCCAGTATAGAACTAACTCTACAGTTTATAAATCCTGGCCGTTGTCGCTCACCTGACTTGCACACAACTGTAAAAGATTACAACGATTTCCTTTCAAGGAGCCCTGAGTTGTTTGGTAAGAAGTCTACAACATAATTCTTTTATTGATCAGAATAGGGGGAAGCCCCAGTGTTAAAGGATAAAACATTACAATGTTACAGTCCAGTCATACGTAACGTTACAAGTAACGTTAGTTTACATAGTTGTAAATACATGTAACAGTTATTGTACAAAGCTGGTGTGTACAATTCCTGTGATACTTTATTCATCATTCTTTCATATACTACAATATGAAATTTAATGGTACATAAACGTACATAATAGTCAGCCATATGTTGAAATGGTTTATTGACACAGGTGTTCAAACAAATATATGGCATTAGAAAAATGATATAAAACTTACCATGGAAAGGTGACTGGCACTTATTCACGAAGTCAACGAACTTTCTGGCTGTACTCAGGATTACTTCTTTAGTTCCAGCCTGAGTTAAGGGAAAAAAGGAAAAAATCCAATAAACAACATTCATTAAACTGATTAAAGAGAAACTCAGTGCAAAACCGGTTTACAATCCAGACTGAAGGGGGAGGGGGGCGCATGTCTCATGTCCGGAAAAAGCCCGTCGGAAATTTGACATGTGTCAGTACTAAGATTATCTAGAAGAAAATATAATGCCTTTACTTCGTTATCAGATAGAAAACTGTAGAAGAAAGCCACTTACTGCTGTTGCTTGCGCCATGGGGGCTGCCATTCTGTCCTAGTGAGAGGTGAGACTCGAGGAGGTAGTGGTGAAATTTTGGCACTTCAAGAACGCCATCTGGCGGAACCTACTAAAAGAGACGAGTGCAACGCCCGCAGTCACGAACGGCTCATTCACTGTACCTAAAAGAATTTGGAGGACTACTTCAAGACGATGAATACCCTTTCCGTTCTATTTGATTTGTTCTTCTCGACTATAATGACACTTCTCCCTCAAAAAACTACTTTTCAAGTTATCAAGCAGGCGAGGGTTTTCTAATATTGCTTAAATCGGACAAAATGTTAGAATCATATCAAAGAAGTACATTTTAGGTCAATGGACAATATCTTGGATGCATGTACTTTCAAGCTTATATAGTATTCTAAGTGTAACGACAGTGAAACAGTAGACTATTGAATCGCAAATCAGCTTCAGAATGAGCACCTTCATCATAATTATGAGTCAATGTCACAAAATCTTCAGACAGATGTTTAACACAAAACCTTACCATGTGCCACGATGATTCAGGTGTAAGTGACTCAGTATACGTGTGTCACGCACTTTATTTTGAACTACGTATGTGTGTGACGTACATGTACATTGTCTGAAACTGAGTACCACCCTTAGTGTATTGACTATGATATACCCTCAGGGTCAAGATTCTACTGTGCACCAGATAGATATATAAACACTTAGCTTTCCACACATATCGTTAGTGTCTCAACTCTGTATGATAATGTAGGGAATCAACTCTGTATGATAATGTAGGGAATCAGCCCGTTTGCGAAATATAAAAATTTGTGTTTCTGGTTACTTGGCTGGTATCTAGTATAACTTGTATACTAGTATGTAGTCACCCCTGGGGGGTCTTGTTTTGCCTAGTGAACTATCACTAATGTTGTCGGCGGGGTAACTCCCAGTTTTAAAGATCACATATTTGGACGGTCAATATCATTACTTCAGCCAATTAACGACACCTGGTTTCACTCACTGTCATTTTATTTGACAACAGAAAAACAAAACAGCAAACAACTAACGCAAGAGAAGTACATGAGATACAACTTACTATCTTAGAATAATAAACAAGCCCCTTCAAATCTCTACATAGTTTTCAATGTGACCAAATATTAATATATTATTATACAGAAAATTCCAACTTTTAATAAAATACCAATTTAGTACATTTTTTTTTACCTTTAAAGCTTTACCAATTACGCCAAAGAGACGATAGTTTTAACCGTTGACCACCCTTAAAATGTTTTTTATCTTACAATTGCTTTTTCAGGGGCTTTTATGACTAACAGATGCCCATGTGTTTTCCTACTATATAGGTATGAACTGAAGTCTGTACAGAGGACAGAGCTCTAATGTAGAATACTACAGTGTGAGATTCACATCTGAATCGATATTATTACATTTGATTTCCTGATATAGTATGCCATACAAGTTAGAACACTATGTCAAAGAAAGTGAAGTTCAGCTCAAATGAATGCAATCTATGGATGCACAGCAAGCTTTACAGTGTGATCTTGAAAACAGTATACTTTTTAATATACAGCTTAGCAGTGGCTTTTCTTCCTATGACAGAAATAGAACTAGTGTTCCATAGTTACATGTGTGTGTGTCGGGTATATCTACTGCAAAACGACTACATCTAAATCATCCCATGCTCACATTGTGAGATCAAAAAGCACAACACTTGATGACAGAGTGATAGATATTTTCTGACATACACCAAACTAAATAAGACTTAAAAAGAATAAATATCGTACAGTGATTTTAATGTTTGTTTCTTTGTTTGTGTAGTGATTGCTTCCGCTATATATCTGTTTTATACATATATTGTAGACTGTCACTAACATCTAGTAGAATTTAAAACTTCGTGTACTTGCATTGGGTTGTTTTGTATTGGCAAAATCAATGCTTAGATGCATCAAAAGCAAATTCAGTTGTTCAAATTGAGTTGAGTGGTAGTAGAGGGATTTCTTGTCAGGTCTGTTGTTTAGATGATGTTGCCTGGCTCAGCCTGAAATGTTGACTCATCTTCGTCGGAGACCTGCACGTCAAAAAACAAGGAGGTTAGCTTCTTGGCGACGCCTCAGGGGCGGAGGCATTTTTGTATCGATCAGTAACAACGACACACACAGACGTACATAGCTCTGCGTCACCACCAAAAGACAACAACACATCCCTCGTGTGAATACTAATCTACAGTGTTAACCATTCATGGAGTACTTGGTCCTGGTGAAGTTGGCGTGCTGGACGCTGATTGGCTGCCGTGACTGACGTCACTTGTGGTCGACTGCTCAGACCACTGATGGTGTTAGCGATAATGGGAGGTTGTTAATCTAAATTTATATTCCCTAGATCACGTTTAACTGACATCTACAAGTACATGTATATCTGATATTAGGCGATCAGGCTTTTCATGGTGTATACTATAAATACTATTATATTATTGTATACTTCCAATAAAGAACTCTATATATAACTATAACGATTAGATTTTAAGTATCTTTTAATTTATGCTTCTATCTCCAATCGATACGCGTTACAATGCATATGCTGTTACAGTAGCATTTTTTTTTAAAGTTTCCAACGCATTTCTTTGTGAGCGATACTCGGTATTGAGGGGTATTGATGGGCGTCTGTGGACAGTTTTTAGTCAGCCCACAGCCGAGGAAAGTTTAAACCGTCACCTTAATCAGTAGCATTTTTGTTTTATGGCTCGGTGGTAGAAGTGTACAGAGTGCTTACCGAAGGAAGTCGTGAAGAGGACAGGTTCCAGTGCATGGTACTGCCGGCGTCTGTGATAGACTTCCTCCCACCTGTGAAGCAGGCAAAAACGTCCGGTCTTCAGTAGTCCAATAGAATACAATCTCTATAGTCTATGAACAATGTGGCACTAACACCAACATTACGATAGAGTCAGAAGCGCATTACAAAACTGTTATATTTTTGTCGTCACTCTGCCTGTTTATGACTGAAACAAGTAGAGCAATCTAGCGGAATACATTGTACACTGTCATCATTTTTCTTCCATCGAACTCGAAACGTAATTCTTGAGACACCTTGATTGGAGACATAACATGATGTCGTAATATTCATATATTGTTACGTCACGTTTCAAGATGGCTGCGTCTTTTAGCTGAGCTCAGCGTCCTCCTCACACTTTTGCAAATTCCTGTCATCAAACTTGCCATCGGTCACCAATCACTTCAGACTTTGGGACTGAAGGTTACAACGAAGCCATCGTATGCAGAAAATTTGTGGATTCTCAACCAAGGAAAGTTGTTGAGGTGTGTGAAACGAAGCGGCTGCTGGGCGACACATCGCTTAGTCCCGGCCCCGAACGAGCGATTTCACCGCAGCGGGCTCCTTAACGGAGCCCCCGCCGGTAAGTCTCCTTGTGATCTCTACGATCTCCACAATCTCTACCAACAAATCTGTCTGTATTGCTTATTGTCGGCTTTGGCTGCTGGGCATTCTGATCTTTTGTTTCAGAGCGGCCCACCACCCACCTCTAATTACGTGAACGTCCAGGTGTTTGCATCCAAACAAGGTTACGCAGGTGGGATCATTCCTTACATCACATTCCACAATCATGCCTAACACACGAAATCAAAAAGTGCAAGGTGATGATGATGTGGTCACAGTTAGAGAAATGAAAGAAATGCTTGAACAGAACAAACTGCATTATGAAGATCTGTTAAAACGACAGGAATCTATATTCCAAAATTTCACTCAAATGTTAATGGAATCTTCCAACAAACGGATCGACTCGTTGATGAGAGAAGTCCAGGATCTAAAGACATCTCTCCAATTCTCACAAGCCGAAATTGATTCACTCAAAGCGTCATCTAAAGACTCAAACAAGACCTCTACTACAACACCAGCAGAAGCAGAAATAGTCAAGAAAGTTGACTACCTTGAGAACCAGAGCCGACGCAATAATATCGTCATCGATGGAATTGTAGATGACAACAACAGAGAAACCTGGGCTGACACCGAGGTGAAGGTTCGAGATATGCTCACAAAGAACTTAAAGATGGAAGCTAAGGATATCGAAATCGAAAGAGCGCATCGAAACGGCGCTTACAACAAAGAAAACCCTCGACCGAGACAAGTTGTTGTCAAGCTCCTGAGATACAAGGACAAACAACTCATCCTAAGCCGAGCAAGATCTCATCTAAAGAACACTCCAATCTACATCAACGAAGACTTCTCCGATGCAGTCCGCAAGAAACGAGCAGAACTTCTTCCTGAACTGAGAGCCGCCAGAAGTCGTGGAGAGTATGCGGTACTGAACTTTGATAGATTAGTTGTTCGAAGGAATCGAAACCCGGACAACGCCTAGTAACGTTTCTTCATAAAAGTATTATTCTCATGTTTGTACTAGTACATTATTTCTAACTTTATGTATGTCTCACATCACTACTGCTCATTGTAAAGACGGAACTCAGACATGCTGTCCTCACTGCAATAAGTCTGTGTGCTGCGACGGGAAGAATATTGTTTTTTGTTCTTGCTGTAGAAATACATTTCATAAACAATGCACTCCAATTACCAAACAAAACCAACAGTACTGGGAATCTTGGATATGTTCTGAATGCTGTGTGCTCTTTCCTTTCTGTTACCTAGAAGACACCGAACTTTTAAAATGCATTCACAGTACAAACGATAGATGTGATTACTCAAATATGGTTTTTAATCCGTTTAAGTAGACATTGAAAATGAAATGAAATATACGGATAATTGGGACCCTGATATAAACTTTTTTAATAGTTCCAC